GGTCGGCACTAGTTTACAAGAATGACAATGAGAGGCGTAAACAAAGATTTTACGTTACACCTATATGGAAGACCTAAGCCACAAAAGGAAAACTTTGCTACAAGATTATAGGGACAATCTTACCATACGACTACAGTATTTTACGAAATGCCTTCAGGACGAACTTAGAAGACCGTATGATAAAAAGCCTTCAAGACTGTTAAGTACAGGACCACAAGGAAGTAGACCTTATGATATTACCACAAGGAAGATCTTACGATATTACCACAAGGTAGATCTTGCGATATTACCACAAGGTAGATCTTACGATATTACCACAAGGTAGATCTTAGGATATTACCACAAGGTAGATCTTCGGATATTACCACAAGGTAGATCTTAGGATATTACCACAAGGTAGATCTTAGGATATTACCACAAGGTAGATCTTAGGATATTACCACAAGGTAGATCTTAGGATATTACCACAAGGTAGATCTTAGGATATTACCACAAGGTAGATCTTAGGATATTGCCACAAGGTAGATCTTAGGATATTACCACAAGGTAGATCTTAGGATATTACCACAAGGTAGATCTTAGGATATTACCACAAGGTAGATCTTAGGATATTACCACAAGGTAGATCTTAGGATATTACCACAAGGTAGATCTTAGGATATTACCACAAGGTAGATCTTAGGATATTACCACAAGGTAGATCTAACGATATTACCACAATTTAGATCTTACAATATACCACAAGGTAGATCTTACATTATCACAAGGTAGATCTTAGGATATTACCACAAGGTAGACCTTACGTTATTACCACAAGGTAGATCTTAGGATATTACTACAAAGTAGACCTTACGTTATTACCACAAGGTAGATCTTAGGATATTACCACAAGGTAGATCTAACGATATTACCACAATTTAGATCTTACAATATACCACAAGGTAGATCTTACATTATCACAAGGTAGATCTTAGGATATTACCACAAGGTAGACCTTACGTTATTACCACAAGGTAGATCTTAGGATATTACTACAAAGTAGACCTTACGTTATTACCACAAGGTAGATCTTACGATATTACTACAAGGTAGACCTTACAATATTACTACAAGGTAGACGTTACAATATTACTACAAGGTAGACCTTACAATATTACTACAAGGTAGATCTTACAATATTACTACAAGGTAGACCTTACAATATTACTACAAGGTAGACCTTACAATATTACTACAAGGTAGACCTTACAATATTACTACAAGGTAGACCTTACAATATTACTACAAGGTAGACCTTACAATATTACTACAAGGTAGACCTTACAATATTACTACAAGGTAGATCTTACAATATTACTACAAGGTAGATCTTACAATATTACTACAAGGTAGACCTTACAATATTACTACAAGGTAGATATTACGATATTACTACAAGGTAGACCTTACAATATTACTACAAGGTAGACCTTACAATATTACTACAAGGTAGACCTTACAATATTACTACAAGGTAGATCTTACAATATTACTACAAGGTAGACCTTACAATATTACTACAAGGTAGACCTTACAATATTACTACAAGGTAGACCTTACAATACTACTACAAGGTAGACCTTACAATATTACTACAAGGTAGATCTTACAATATTACTACAAGGTAGACCTTACAATATTACTACAAGGTAGATATTACGATATTACTACAAGGTAGACCTTACAATATTACTACAAGGTAGACCTTACAATATTACTACAAGGTAGATCTTACAATATTACTACAAGGTAGATCTTACAATATTACTACAAGGTAGACCTTACAATATTACTACAAGGTAGACCTTACAATATTACTACAAGGTAGACCTTACAATATTACTACAAGGTAGACCTTACAACATTACCACAAAGTAGACCTTACGACATTACCACAAGGGAGACCTTACGACATTACCACAAGGTAGACCTTACGATATTACCACAAGGTAGACCTTACGATATTACCACGAGGTAGGTAAGGTCTACCACAAGGTAGTCCTTACAACATTACCACAAAGTAGACCTTACGACATTACCACAAGGTACACTAGACAATACTACCACAAGGTACACCTTACAATACAACTACAAGGTACACCTTACAATACTACCACGAGGTACACCTTACAATACTACCACGGGGTACACCTTACAATACTACCACGAGGTACACCTTACAATACTACCACGAGATACACCTTACAATACTACCACGGGGTACACCTTACAATACTACCACGAGATACACCTTACAATACTACCACGGGGTACACCTTACAATACTACCACGGGGTACACCTTACAATACTACCACGAGGTACACCTTACAATACTACCACGAGGTACACCTTGAACATTAAAATGGTATAAAATACCGACAGGTTGTTAGGTAAGACACATATGCAACAGTTAGGTATCTTTATTTCGAAACGTTTCGCCTACACAGTAGGCTTCTTCAGTCGAGTATAGAAAAGTTGATAGAAGCAGAAGATACTTATATAGCGCCAACAGGTGAGACGTAGGTCACTAGAAGAGGTAAGAACTCAGATGTTGGGAGGTCAGATCCCTCTCAAATCCAGCCGTTCTCACTAGTAGAGGTTGTCGAAGTTGATTGTAGGTCTGTACCAAGATACCCTTGTGTTGCAGTGTCTGTACTCGACTGAAGAAGCCTACTGTGTAGGCGAAACGTTTCGAAATAAAGATACCTAACTGTTGCATATGTGTCTTACCTAACAACCTGTCGGTATTTTATACCATTTTAATGTTCAATCTGTCAGACACTGCAACACAAGGGTATCTTGGTACAGACCTACAATCAACTTCGACAACCTCTACTAGTGAGAACGGCTGGATTTGAGAGGGACCTGACCTCCCAACATCTGAGTTCTTACCTCTTCTAGTGACCTACGTCTCACCTGTTGGCGCTATATAAGGCTCCATCCTGTCACTTCATCTCCATATTGTTTCATTCTATGGAACAATGCTCTTCTCCAGACTGAGGGACTGACCACCTCAAAACTTTAAGGGTGATGGACTGATTACATCGTCTTCAAGTATCTTCTGCTTCTATCAACTTTTCTGTACTCGACTGAAGAAGCCTACTGTGTAGGCGAAACGTTTCGAAATAAAGATACCTAACAGGTACACCTTACAATACTACCACGGGGTACACCTTACAATACTACCACGAGGTACACCTTACAATACTACCACGGGGTACACCTTACAATACTACCACGAGGTACACCTTACAATACTACCACGGGGTACACCTTACAATACTACCACGAGGTACACCTTACAATACTACCACGAGGTACACCTTACAATGCTACCACCGGGTACACCTTACAATACTACCACGAGGTACACCTTACAATACTACCACGAGGTACACCTTACAATACTACCACGAGGTACACCTTACAATACTACCACGGGGTACACCTTACAATACTACCACGAGGTACACCTTACAATACTACCACGAGGTACACCTTACAATACTACCACGAGGTACACCTTACAATACTACCACGAGGTACACCTTACAATACTACCACGAGGTACACCTTACAATACTACCACGAGTACACCTTACAATACTACCACGGGGTACACCTTACAATACTACCACGAGGTACACCTTACAATACTACCACGAGGTACACCTTACAATACTACCACCGGGTACACCTTACAATACTACCACGAGGTACACCTTACAATACTACCACGAGGTACACCTTACAATACTACCACGAGGTACACCTTACAATACTACCACGGGGTAACACCTTACAATACTACCACGAGGTACACCTTACAATACTACCACGAGGTACACCTTACAATACTACCACGAGGTACACCTTACAATACTACCACGGGGTACACCTTACAATACTACCACGAGGTACACCTTACAATACTACCACGAGGTACACCTTACAATACTACCACCGGGTACACCTTACAATACTACCACGAGGTACACCTTACAATACTACCACGAGTGTACACCTTACAATACTACCACGAGGTACACCTTACAATACTACCACGGGGTACACCTTACAATACTACCACGAGGTACACCTTACAATACTACCACGAGGTACACCTTACAATACTACCACGAGGTACACCTTACAATACTACCACGAGGTACACCTTACAATACTACCACGGGGTACACCTTACAATACTACCACGAGTACACCTTACAATACTACCACGGGGTACACCTTACAATACTACCACGGGGTACACCTTACAATACTACCACGAGGTACACCTTACAATACTACCACGGGGTACACCTTACAATACTACCACGGGGTACACCTTACAATACTACCACGAGGTACACCTTACAATACTACCACGAGGTACACCTTACAATACTACCACGAGGTACACCTTACAATACTACCACGAGGTACACCTTACAATACTACCACGAGGTACACCTTACAATACTACCACGGGTACACCATTTCAATACTACCACGAGGTACACCTTACAATACTACCACGAGGTACACCTTACAATACTACCACGAGGTACACCTTACAATACTACCACGAGGTACACCTTACAATACTACCACGGGGTACGCCTTACAATACTACCACGAGGTACATCTTACGATACACCCACAAAAACAGAAGGCTAGCACCTCGAAATAAATATGAGCAGATGTTTAACTCCCAGATTCTTGAGCATCTTCCATAAGTTTGTTGGGATTATCATCCAGCCTGACAACAACCACAAACTATCTGTCAGCACATTCGAGTGTATTTCAGCACTAGAAGGAATCAGCACCTTGAAAGTTGTATTCATGTTCATTCTTTTTTTCACTGACTTCAGAAACATGCGAGAGAGGATGAAGTTTGCTACGTGATTATGGAGGAGGGGGGGGGTTATTGAGGGGAAGGGGTAGAAGGAAGTGCGATAAGGGTTGATTGAGAGGTTAGCTGCGGTGGGGAATGTTAGTGAGCAGTGAGGAACACCACTAGGGAGGTCTTCAACCCATGCGGTTAATTGGCAAGAATTCAACTACTCTAAAGGTATAGTGAGCGTGCCAGTGTGTGTGGTGTGTTGCGCGCGCGTGTGTGTGTGTGTGTGTGTGTGTGTGTGTGTAAAGTCGTCTGCACATGTAGTCTGCATGCACATGTAAAGTGGTCTGTGTGCACATGTGATCTGCGTACACAATTTGTGTGCACATGTAAAGTGGTCTGGGTGCACATGTAATCTGCGTACACAGTTTGTGTGCACATGTAAAGTGGTCAGCGTGTGTACACCATCTGTACACTAGCTAGCATGCCTGGATGTGTGTGAACTGCGCCAGTGTTAACCTTCACAATATCATGATAAGTTATCATATGAAAGATGATTACCTCATCTTCTGTATATAGTCCTACCGTCTTCAAGCTATGTCCTAGAATTTGTATTGATAAAGCCACTGGATGACGAAACGTCTATAATAAAGATACCCAGATGTTGCACATGTGTCTTAATTTCATCTTGTCGGTATTATATATCACTCTTGCAAAACTTGTCAGACACTGCAACATCATGGAATCTTGATTCTGAGGACATGTACATAAACTTCACGACTACGACAACTACTACTACAACTAACCCATCTCTTTGGGAAGGACCTACTTCCACTGGGAAATCCCGCCTACCAGTGACTATGCCCTCGTCTACTACACCTGACGTTACTATATAAACGCCAACCTCCTTGCTTCTGCTTCAGAATCTCCACGACTATGGTGCTCTCGCACCTTCTCCTAGGTTGAGGGACTGATTACCTCATCTTCTGTATATAGTCCTACTGTCTTCAAGCTATGTCCTAGAATTTGTATTGATAAAGCCACTGGATGGCGAAACGTCTACAATAAAGATACCCAGATGTTGCACATGTGTCTTAATTTCATCTTGTCGGTATTATATACCATTCTTGCAAAAGATAAAGTTCCTGATATTTCTTTGTACTTCTGAAGGAATCAGGTCAATATCATTTTGCACTTGAGACTTGATCAGGAGCCTGGGGTTTCGCCAGCGAGCCTGAAGTGTCGCAACATTCACCGTCGTTCAAACACTGCCTTGCCACAAGCGTACCGGTATCGCAGTTCTGATGATTCTCCTTCATAATGAAGGCACTGTACTTCCTACATTATGGACTCAAATCCGTGTAACTGGTTTCACTGAATTCCTTTACAAATATTAACTAATTCACACTCCAACAGCACGTCAAACCACAAAAGTAAATACTTCTCTCCATTCCCTCCAATTCAACGCGTTCACACAAGCATGTTGGGTACTCAAGCCTCTAGCAATCGAAACCTCCTTTATCTTTCCTCCATCCATTCTTCATTTGGACAACCTATACCTTCCACATTAGATCTTAATACCCTCTAAGTCATCCTATTCTGCTCCATCCTCTTAAATGCCCAATGCCTTTCAATCCCTTCTCAGTTCTCTGAATGATAGTTTAGGTTACCTCAACATAATTTCGTAACTGTCAATAGTTTCGCCCTCTCACTTAGGCCTCCTTCACTTTAATGAGAAGCCTTTGTAAGAAGCCTCAGTATACAACACTTGTTTTATGTTTTATCGTATTTTTGGTTTGTGCAAAAGCACATATACGTATCGTCTGTTACTGGAACTTTAAGTCGCATATTTACCTGTGGATTATTAATTCTCTCTTCCTTGCCGACAGTCTCGCCGAAGAAGGAAGGAAGCCTCGCCAAGGAAGGAAGCCTCGCCAAGGAAGGAAGCCTCGCCAAGGATCAGGGATGGTTGTTGAGGAGAGGCTGGGAGTGTACCATGGGCAGGATTACAGCAAGCTGAGGGCTCAGTGTTGGGTCCAGGACAGGTTGTTCCAGGACCCAGAGTTCCCCGCAGACCAAAGGTCTATCGGGTTCCACACGACGCTCCAATGGAAGAGACCAAAGGTGAACTACTCGCGTTGTTTTTATTTTAATGTTAACAGTTTCCATTGTCATTAAATTAGAAAATATGTTAATTATCGCCACTGTCAGGTTTAATCACCTTATAAAATTAATTAATATAAAGTTGAGGTACAGATAAATCTAGTGTAGTAAATTTCTCTTGTTTAGTTTTGCGTAAAGAAAAGAAAAAGTAAGAATGGGCGTTGAGGAGCCAAATTTTCATTGATAGAGAAAAGTTGGCAGTTATACTCCTGAGGTGGCTAGTATCATTGGTCAAGAAATTTAACCATAAATGTGTACAATGCAAAAAACTACAATGTCACAAGAGTTTTTATCCCAAGTTTAATGGACACTAATTGTTAAAACTCCAAACTGAACTTCAGGAGCTGGTTGATAACCCCAAGTTCATGGATCATGCTGACAGATTCTCCGTGGTGCAGGGGGAGCTGGGTATGTATAATTGGACTCGCATGAAGGATAAAAAGGAAGGGAGAGGAGAAGGGAAGATGATGCTTTTAACTATGATAAACACCAGCCATGAGAGGCTATACAACAATGATTATATTACTTAAACTGTTTCTAATTTAACAGCGTTCATTTAAAGACTGATCGACTGTAGATATTTATAAGGGTCATAAGTGATTGTAAATGTTTATCCTTACTTGCCTATTCGTCACAGGAGATTGTTGGTTCGTGTCAGCAATGTCAGCCATAACTCTCAACCCTGGACTGCTGCGACGCGTGGTACCTAATGACCAGGACTTTACCACTACAAAGTACGCAGGAATCTTCCACTTCAGGTATGGATTTTCTTAAACACTGAAATGCAACAAAACAGGTTCATAGATCAACACCAACAAGAAAAGTTAAGACAGACTTTGTATCACTGAAACCCAACAGACAGAAAGGGGATACAAGACCACACTAGGAGAGAAGGTAGACAGTAGTGGAATCACTGACAACGCTAAATCTATAAGACCACCTCATGGGCTACCTGGAGACTTGTGTGTCTGGAAAAAGTCACACGTTATTTAAACACCATAAACAATTAATCAAACAAAATATATTTTAAATAATCTATTAACTGATAGTACACGACTTCAAGTTGGCAACACTATATATGATGTGCAAGTAACCCGCACATAAGAGAGGGGAGCGCTTACGACGACGTTTCGGTCCAGTTTGAACCATTTACAAAGTCACTAACAGAAGGGTAAGGAGGTAGTATGTGTATGTCGTGTCGAATATGTAAAACTGGTCAATTAGCAAGAACTCGTTTAAAATTAAGTCCTTTCTAAAAATTTCTCTTATAATTTTAAAGAAATATTTTTTTTAATTGATGTTAATGTAAACATTTTTAATTTTGCACCAGAAGAATCTTAGAAAACTTACCTAACCTTATTATAACAAGAACAATTTATTTTAGCCTAATCCTACTAAATATATTTTAAGAATGTTTACAGTAATTTAATACTAAACAAACACAATGAAATATTTTTTTCGTTAGGTTTAGAATGATTTTGGCGAAATTATTGCATACACAAATTTTCGCTTGTCTTATATGGCAAGATGAACGTTGCTATTTAAGCCAAGATCACAAATTCTGCCTATTCGGCACGACACACACACACACACACACACACACACACACACACACACACACACACATATATAATATATATATATATATATTATAGAGAGAGAGAGCCACAGAATTTGGTTAACACAAGCCCATCTGATGTTATCCTGACGCCAAATCACTTCGAACAGGCGATAAATGACATGCCCATGCACTCTGCCCCAGGGCCAGACTCATGGAACTCCGTGTTCATCAAGAACTGCAAGAAGCCCCTATCACGAGCCTTTACCATCCTATGGAGAGGGAGCATGGACACGGGGGTCGTCCCACAGTTACTAAAAACAGCAGACATAGCCCCACTCCACAAAGGGGGCAGTAAAGCAACAGCAAAGAACTACAAACCGATAGCACTAACATCCCATATCATAAAAATCTTTGAAAGGGTCCTAAGAAGCAAGATCACCACCCATCTAGAAACACATCAGTTACACAACCCAGGGCAACATGGGTTTAGAACAGGTCGCTCCTGTCTGTCTCAACTATTGGATCACTACGACAAGGTCCTAGATGCACTAGAAGACAAAAAGAATGCAGATGTAGTATATACAGACTTTGCAAAAGCCTTCGACAAGTGTGACCATGGCGTAATAGAGCACAAAATGCGTGCTAAAGGAATAACAGGAAAGTCGGTCGATGGATCTATAATTTCCTCAATAACAGAACACAGTAGTAGTCGACAGAGTAAAGTCCGAGGCAGCTACGGTGAAAAGCTCTGTTCCACAAGGCACAGTACTCGCTCCCATCTTGTTCCTCATCCTCATATCTGACATAGACAAGGATGTCAGCCACAGCACCGTGTCTTCCTTTGCAGATGACACCCGAATCTGCATGACAGTGTCTTCCATTGCAGACACTGCAAGGCTCCAGGCGGACATCAACCAAATCTTTCAGTGGGCTGCAGAAAACAATATGAAGTTCAACGATGAGAAATTTAAATTACTCAGATATGGTAAACACGAGGAAATTAAATCTTCAGAGTACAAAACAAATTCTGGTCACAAAATAGAGCGAAACACCAACGTCAAAGACCTGGGAGTGATTATGTCGGAGGATCTCACCTTCAAGGACCATAACATTGTATCAATCGCATCTGCTAGAAAAATGACAGGATGGATAATGAGAACCTTCGAAACTTGGGATGACACTCTTCAGGTCACTTGTTCTATCTAGGCTGGAATATTGCTGCACACTAACAGCACCTTTCAAGGCAGGTGAAATTGCTGACCTAGAAAATGTACAGAGAACCTTCACGGCGCGCATAACGGAGATAAAACACCTCAGTTACTGGGAGCGCTTGAGGTTCCTAAAACTGTATTCCCTGGAACGCAGGCGGGAGAGATACATGATTATATACACCTGGAAAATCCTAGAGGGACTAGTACCGAACTTGCACACGAAAATCACTCACTACGAAAGCAAGAGCAGACGATGCAACATCCCCCCAATGAAAAGCAGGGGTGCCACTAGCACGTTAAGAGACCATACAATAAGTGTCAGGGGCCCGAGACTGTTCAACTGCCTCCCAGCATACATAAGGGGGATTACCAACAGACCCCTGGCAGTCTTCAAGCTGGCACTGGACAAGCACCTAAAGTCGGTTCCTGACCAGCCGGGCTGTGGCTCGTACGTTGGTTTGCGTGCAGCCAGCAGCAACAGCATGGTTGATCAGGCTCTGATCCACCAGGAGGCCTGGTCACAGACCGGGCCGCGGGGGCGTTGACCCCCGGAACTCTCTCCAGGTAAAGTCCAGGTATATATATGTCGTGCCGAATATGTAAAACTGGTCAATTAGCAAGAATTCATTTAAAATTAAGTCCTTTCTAAAATTTTCTCTTGTACGTTCAAAGATATATTTTTTTCATTAATGTTAATGTAAAAAATTATAATTTTGCACCAAAAGGAACTTAGAAAACTTACCTAACCTTATTATAAAAAGAACAATTTATTTTAGCCTAACCCAACTAAATATATTTTAGATTTGTTTACAATAATTTAATACTAAAAAAAACACAATGAAATATATTTTTTTCGTTAGGTTTAGAATGATTTTGGCGAAATTATTGCATACACAAATTTTCGCTTGTCCTATATGGCAAGATAAGCGTTGCTATTTAAGCCAAGATGACAAGTTCTGCCTATTCGGCACGACATATATATATAATATATATATATATATATATATATATATATATATATATATATATATATATATATATATATATATATATATATATGCTAGTTGGCCTATGTATGGGTTATTTATATTTTGTTCCAGTCATGGTATTGTGCTTTTTCGTTCTTTATATATGATAACATTACACATGTAGAAAAAAAGGCCCATTCAATTTTTTTAAGCAAAAGTAAAGCAATGAAACAAAAACCATTTAAGTCAGTCATTTATTGACAACACCTGGTCATGTAGAGATGGAAATCCTACATAACATCGTGACATAACATGTATATTCAGCAGTGGGTTTGTATTGTCTTTCTCCTGTGACGTTTTTTGACTTTTTTGCCTGGATCCGGAGCCTTCATGTCTACATTTGATACACTGTTATGAACCTCACCTACCTACCTCCCTACCCTCCTTTTTTAAGACTTTATACAGCTTTTATTTAGTCTTAAGTATATTCAGTTCAGGAACGTTTGTTTTATTTCATTTTACAGATGCGTCTTTAGCTCATTCTGACAACTTTTATGTAATTATTTTTTGATTTAGTACACGGTGTAGTTTGGTAGTTCTTTAATTTTGAAGATGGATCTGAATTACTTCAATACAACTTGACCTAATTCGGACCTAAACTGTATTACATATTAATACACAAATGAATGATGATAATATAATTACTAAGCATACCGATACTAACAGTACGGAATTAAGACACGTATGCAGCACTAAATACATTAGACGTTTTGCCCACTGGGGTTTTATCAATTCAATCCACAGAAAAATTAGCATCAGACGGGCCGCTGGGGCTTTGACCCCCCCGAAACCCTCTCCAGGTATACAAGTCAGGCGAGTCAAGTGCCAGGTGATGGTGAGACCAGGTGATGGTGAGGCCAGGTGATGGTGAGACCAGGTGATGGTGAGGCCAGGTGATGGTGAGACCAGGTGATGGTGAGGCCAGGTGACTGTATTAAAACTACTGATCCTGCACAGTGTGGTGTGGTAGAATCGGGCAAGGCAGGACAATAGATGCACTGAGGCTTCCAGAGTTCTAGGCTACTGTATTGAAAACAACGATTAACGATGCCTCAAGCCATTTCTGCAGGTCACTCGCCTTCAGTAACAATCTGGCTTCTTTCCATTTAATTAGGCGTTACGATGAACAACGCCAGGGTATGTCGGATTTGTATGCTGTGTAAATGTGTTCTCTCAATGGCTAGTCAAATCTGAAATGTGAAGGCTTACATTTCCAGCTTACTACCGAGTGATTTGCAGAGATGTCAACTATCTCGAGTCAACAGTGAAGGCTGTATCCAATACTAGTGGCCCAGAACTCCGTAAGATCTATTGTATTAGGTGCCCTTGCTAGACTGAGCAGCAGTCATGACATTCACAGAGTACTCGATAGTCTGGGTCGCTCATAGCCATAAAGAAAGTGCAACGCACAATAAAAACAAGGATTGTAGCCTCATCACTGTTCTTTATTGAACAAGACCACAGCAAGCTAAAACGTCTCTTCACAAAGTGTATAGGCGTCTTCATTCTTCAATTTGTAATGTTCTGAAATCAAAGAGCTTTATTTTATAAAGCTGAATTTTTTTTTATTCTTCAATGATCTGTATTTATGTTTAGTTGCAACTCTAGTTATCTTAGAACCTAATTCTGCACAATGATGATGGGAGACAGTATCGAAGATTTCAGATGTTGCAGCAAAGGGCGAGTTCACTGGTTAGCGCCAGCATACCTCAACAATGACAAGTCTCCAGCAGCGCCACACGTCTTGCCAGTGAACATAAAAAAAAAAAAAGTTCTTTACAGCCCAAATAAACGACCTGTTAGTGGCAATACGGGTTCCATCTTTTAATGCTGCAACATTCAGGTGTGACTTTCGACATCAATTATAATTTCCAAGACAAGCACACGACGGAAGACTCATACAGACGTCCACTGATTGTGTTAGTGACAGGACAGTGGATGGATGTGGCAGTGGATGAACATGTGTTACGAACAGGGCCCGTGACCTCCCTGCTAGTGCTTCTCGTAACAAACATACACCAAAGAGAACAGGTTTATCTTGTCTAGAGGATATCAATCACTGGGACCACTCCTGGAGGCAAAGGAATCTTTACTTTCAGCTGGTTTTGTTAACTTCATTATTAATCACAATGTTTCCATTATTTCTTAAATAAGAAATACTCACACCGTAACAATGAGTAGAAATAATTATCCTTAATATTAAAATATTATCTGCTGATGTTATGAATGAAAAGAAGTTGGATGTCCTGGCCCTAAGCGAAACAAAGCTGAAGGGGGTAGGAGAGTTTCAGTGGGGGGAAATAAATGGGATTAAATCTGGAGTATCTGAGAGAGTTAGAACAAAGGAAGGGGTAGCAGTAATGTTAAATGATCAGTTATGGAAGGAGAAAAGAGAATATGAATGTGTAAATTCAAGAATTATGTGGATTAAAGTAAAGGTTGGATGCGAGAAGTGGGCCATAATAAGCGTGTATGCACCTGGAGAAGAGAGGAATGCAGAGGAGAGAGAGAGATTTTGGGAGATGTTAAGTGAATGTATAGGAGCCTTTGAACCAAGTGAGAGAGTAATTGTGGTAGGGGACTTGAATGCTAAAGTAGGAGAAACTTTTAGAGAGGGTGTGGTAGGTAAGTTTGGGGTGCCAGGTGTAAATGATAATGGGAGCCCTTTGATTGAACTTTGTATAGAAAGGGGTTTAGTTATAGGTAATACATATTTTAAGAAAAAGAGGATAAATAAGTATACACGATATGATGTAGGGCGAAATGACAGTAGTTTGTTGGATTATGTATTGGTAGATAAAAGACTGTTGAGTAGACTTCAGGATGTACATGTTTATAGAGGGGCCACAGATATATCAGATCACTTTCTAGTTGTAGCTACACTGAGAGTAAAAGGTAGATGGGATACAAGGAGAATAGAAGCATCAGGGAAGAGAGAGGTGAAGGTTTATAAACTAAAAGAGGAGGCAGTTAGGGTAAGATATAAACAGCTATTGGAGGATAGATGGGCTAATGAGAGCATAGGCAATGGGGTCGAAGAGGTATGGGGTAGGTTTAAAAATGTAGTGTTAGAGTGTTCAGCAGAAGTTTGTGGTTACAGGAAAGTGGGTGCAGGAGGGAAGAGGAGCGATTGGTGGAATGATGATGTAAAGAGAGTAGTAAGGAGAAAAAGTTAGCATATGAGAAGTTTTTACAAAGTAGAAGTGATGCAAGGAGGGAAGAGTATATGGAGAAAAAGAGAGAAGTTAAGAGAGTGGTGAAGCAATGTAAAAAGAGAGCAAATGAGAGAGTGGGTGAGATGTTATCAACAAATTTCGTTGAAAATAAGAAAAGTTTTGGAGTGAGATTAACAAGTTAAGAAAGCCTAGAGAACAAATGGATTTGTCAGTTAAAAATAGGAGAGGAGAGTTATTAAATGGAGAGTTAGAGGTATTGGGAAGATGGAAGGAATATTTTGAGGAATTGTTAAATGTTGATGAAGATAGGGAAGCTGTGATTTCGTGTATAGGGCAAGGAGGAATAACATCTTGTAGGAGTGAGGAAGAGCCAGTTGTGAGTGTGGGGAAGTTCGTGAGGCAGTAGGTAAAATGAAAGGGGGTAAGGCAGCCGGGATTGATGGGATAAAGATAGAAATGTTAAAAGCAGGTGGGGATATAGTTTTGGAGTGGTTGGTGCAATTATTTAATAAATGTATGGAAGAGGGTAAGGTACCTAGGGATTGGCAGAGAGCATGCATAGTTCCTTTGTATAAAGGCAAAGGGGATAAAAGAGAGTGCAAAAATTATAGGGGGATAAGTCTGTTGAGTGTACCTGGTAAAGTGTATGGTAGAGTTATAATTGAAAGAATTAAGAGTAAGACGGAGAATAGGATAGCAGATGAACAAGGAGGCTTTAGGAAAGGTAGGGGGTGTGTGGACCAGGTGTTTACAGTGAAACATATAAGTGAACAGTATTTAGATAAGGCTAAAGAGGTCTTTGTGGCATTTATGGATTTGGAAAAGGCGTATGACAGGGTGGATAGGGGGGCAATGTGGCAGATGTTGCAAGTGTATGGTGTAGGAGGTAGGTTACTGAAAGCAGTGAAGAGTTTTTACGAGGATAGTGAGGCTCAAGTTAGAGTATGTAGGAAAGAAGGAAATTTTTTCCCAGTAAAAGTAGGCCTTAGACAAGGATGTGTGATGTCACCGTGGTTGTTTAATATATTTATAGATGGGGTTGTAAGAGAAGTAAATGCGAGGGTCTTGGCAAGAGGCGTGGAGTTAAAAGATAAAGAATCACACACAAAGTGGGAGTTGTCACAGCTGCTCTTTGCTGATGACACTGTGCTCTTGGGAGATTCTGAAGAGAAGTTGCAGAGATTGGTGGATGAATTTGGTAGGGTGTGCAAAAGAAGAAAATTAAAGGTGAATACAGGAAAGAGTAAGGTTATGAGGATAACAAAAAGATTAGGTGATGAAAGATTGGATATCAGATTGGAGGGAGAGAGTATGGAGGAGGTGAACGTATTCAGATATTTGGGAGTGGACGTGTCAGCGGATGGGTCTATGAAAGATGAGGTGAATCATAGAATTGATGAGGGAAAAAGAGTGAGTGGTGCACTTAGGAGTCTGTGGAGACAAAGAACTTTGTCCTTGGAGGCAAAGAGGGGAATGTATGAGAGTATAGTTTTACCAACGCTCTTATATGGGTGTGAAGCGTGGGTGATGAATGTTGCAGCGAGGAGAAGGCTGGAGGCAGTGGAGATGTCATGTCTGAGGGCAATGTGTGGTGTGAATATAATGCAGAGAATTCGTAGTTTGGAAGTTAGGAGGAGGTGCGGGATTACCAAAACTGTTGTCCAGAGGGCTGAGGAAGGGTTGTTGAGGTGGTTCGGACATGTAGAGAGAATGGAGCGAAACAGAATGACTTCAAGAGTGTATCAGTCTGTAGTGGAAGGAAGGCGGGGTAGGGGTCGGCCTAGGAAGGGTTGGAGGGAGGGGGTAAAGGAGGTTTTGTGTGCGAGGGGCTTGGACTTCCAGCAGGCATGCGTGAGCGTGTTTGATAGGAGTGAATGGAGACAAATGGTTTTTAATACTTGACGTGCTGTTGGAGTGTGAGCAAAGTAACATTTATGAAGGGATTCAGGGAAACCGGCAGGCCGGACTTGAGTCCTGGAGATGGGAAGTACAGTGCCTGCACTCTGAAGGAGGGGTGTTAATGTTGCAGTTTAAAAACTGTAGTGTAAAGCACCCTTCTGGCAAGACAGTGATGGAGTGAATGATGGTGAAAGTTTTTCTTTTTCTGGCCACCCTGCCTTGGTGGGAATCGGCCGGTGTGATAAAAAAAAAAAAAAAAAAAAAATTATCCAGATAACTTTTTAAGTATTCACAAGAGGAAACATTTTCTAGACTCGATCACAATGAGTCAAAAGAGGTAAAGTATGTATATATATATATATATATATATATATATATATATATATATATATATATATATATATATATATATATATATATATATATGCAAAACAACCACGAACGCGCTTGGAATTTCTCTATTCTTTCAGAGTGGTTGTTTTGCATATATATATATATATATATATATATATATATATATATATATATTTTAATATATATATATATATATATATATATATATATATATATATATATATATATATATATACACAGGCGTTTATAAACAAATGCAGTATTAGCACAATCGAGTTCTTCCTCAGGGGGCTTTTCACAATATCTCCCTTCTCGAACAGAGTCTACAGACTATCACTTAGACCCGTTCACTGTTACTTGTAACTTTTAGGAGCTTCTCAACCCCCTTCTCAGACCAAGTAATGCCCGACCACAGGGCTTCCAAATTTCTGGGGTACTCTTTGGGAATTATAACGAAGCTTAAAGCCAGGCTCTCCACCGGATTCTTCCTCGACTAGAGGGAGGTGTGAACTGAATAAATTATGACTTTACCACCAGACCTCATCTCTGACTGAGCGGGGGTTGAGTAGCTCAAATTGTTCCCTGGTGCTTAACCGTGCTGCACCGGCAATTTAGAACAATGAAACATCCTACCTATGTACAAAGCTAAACAATTTATGGCCAGATAATATTATAAAGCCGAGTATATTCATTTTAGCTATTAATGAAGATACTCCTTAATGTAACATTAAGTGAAAAAGCCAAAACAACACATGTAAATACATCGTCCCAGTTTGTGGTTAAATAAACAAGGGGCATAACACATGTCACAGTCACTTCTTACAATCAACTTTTTTTACACGTCAGATTGTGGCAGGGTGGTGAGTGGGTGGACGTGGTAGTGGATGATCGTCTGCCAGTCACTGCAGACAACCAACTCTGCTTCTCACACTCCGCCAACCATGCAGAGTTCTGGTCAGCTCTCCTTGAGAAGGCCTACGCAAAGTATGTTCTCATAGTGACTCCTGTACCAACTAGATGTATTTCAGTCCATAAGCCCAGCTTCCTCTACCTCAGTGCACACACAACAAATAATGGAAAGTGGTTATAAAAAATCTTAACCTAACCTCATCCCAACCCTAACCCAACCTAACCCCAACCCAACTTAACCTCAACCCTTCTTAGAACTGAGTTGCAAACCCTGTGTGAATGTGTGACAATTATTCAGATGGGTTGTTCCCCCATAGATACCATAAACGTTAGTAAATCATTCTTACCTACACGCATACTCGTTTAAACCTTAAGCACGAGTAAATCTTAGAGAAAAGTTTGGCTTTGGTTTGGCCTGTGATGATCCCAGTTTGCATTTTCTTAGGGAAGCAGTTGGGAAAAATTTAAATACTAACTTCCCTGCCTTCATTGCCTTCCTCTTCAACGCTGATAACTTGATGAGAATATATTGAGAATGCCAAATTGAATTCGCTTCAAATCATCAGCAGTAATTCTTAACTTTATTAGAAATTTACGCTGAATCATGCACCAATATTTTCAGTTGCATTGACGTTGCAAGAGTCTGTAGTTATGCAATACGGGGATACCTTTGCAGGATTCCTCAGCGACCCAAATATTTCTTGTTTTAATAATAACTCTGCTACACACTTTACCCGATATATTCGATAGGATTTTTATTTCCCCATCATTCTTGCAATATATTTTATCCTTTTTCTCCAGTCCATAAGAGCCTTCGTCCTTCTTATTACGTTGAACAAATGCACCAACGTTTCTGTCTTGACCCGCTTTAACCCAGCTGTTTCACCTCCTCTCACTCTGAATACTCTCTCTCGCACACACTAACATCTGGCTCTTCCTTACTGTTACGAGATGGGAATATCTGTATAATTTCTTGCATTAAATTAGTTAATGGTCGTCTTTGAGAAGGTCAGCGATTCTTGACTCATTTTTAATATTATTAGATTTATGGGAAGCTGTATACGAGTGCGGGTCATGAAACGCCTGGAAAAGGGTAGCTCTAATTTCTTGGATCAAGAGCCTTTCACTAGCACTCAAGTCACCACCTTGGTACGACCCACTATGAAATGTAGATTTTAATAGGAAAAAATCCTGCTAATTGAATACATATTCTAAAATATGTTCATTAATTCTTTGTTACTCCTGTGTCTCGTTATCAAGACGACTGTTACTCCTGTGTCTCGTTAACAAGATGACTGTTACTCCTGTGTCTCGTTATCAAGACGACTGTTACTCCTGTGTCTCGTTAACAAGATGACTGTTACTCCTGTGTCTCGTTAACAAGATGACTGTTACTCCTGTGTCTCGTTAACAAGATAACGCTGTAAGGAACTAACTGACGCCCAAATACATCCAAAAAGAAAGTTAAAATGAGGCTAATACAACACAGTGACCATACTCGGGGCTTGTAGTTTGGAGTAGCAATCCTCCCTGCGGCTCTGGGTTCTTCTACCAGTTAAATAAACAGTTTTGCTCTGGCAAATTTAACGTGTCATATAAACTACCCTTCTGCTGGGGCATATTTAACGTGTCATATAAACTATCCTTCTGCTGGGGCATATTTAACGTGTCATATAAACTATCCTTCTGCTGGGGCATATTTAACGTGCCCTATAAACTACCCTTCTGCTGGGGCATATTTAACGTGTCATATAAACTATCCTTCTGCTGGGGCATATTTAACGTGCCCTATAAACTACCCTTCTGCTGGGGCATATTTAACGTGTCATATAAACTACCCCTCTGCTGGGGCATATTTAACGTGTCATATAAACTACCCTTCTGCTGGGGCATATTTTACGTGTAATGTAAACAACTCATCCTCAGCTAATATCTTTATTTTAGTGACTTTCTTCAGTCTTGGTGTTATTTTTGTGTTATTGCATTTATTAGTGTTAATTAATCCTAACCTATTCTACAGTAATCTAAAATAACGTAACCTAAATAGCCTATGTACAGAAATTATTTTAAACAGTAAAATACCAACATAGGCATTAGAACAATGTTTATATAAAATGGAAAGTGGTGTGGTTCAGGTTACACGGGTCTTATGGAGCTCTGAACGCTGGCAAGTGCTACGAGGCGACCGAAGACCTGACGGGGGGAGTGACGGAGAGGTTTCTCCTGCAGCGAGAGACGCCACCACACAATCTTTATTCCATCATAGAGCAAGCCAGCCACCGAGGCTCACTTATAACATGCAACTCCCAGGTAATGTTAATGTTCACTTGTAGTGTGCAACTCCCAGGTAATGTTCACTTGTAGTGTGCAACTCCCAGGTAATGTTAATGTTCACTTGTAGTGTGCAACTCCCAGGTAATGTTCACTTGCAGTGTGCAACTCCCAGGTAATGTTCACTTGCAGTGTGCAACTCCCAGGTAATGTTCACTTGCAGTGTGCAACTCCCAGGTAATATACCTTTAAAATGATCAATGTAAAATGATTAACAAAACATTGTACCAGAAACCCATTTGGAAACGCTTTCCTGATGAGTCACTCGAGTGCTACTGGAGTTCTGTAAAAGTTTGCTCTGAACCAACAAATAATACAGCCTACTAAAAGTAAAAATAATTCTACTTAACCCTCATAAAGTATGAGCAACTTATCAGATACAATCTCCACTACAATATGCTATGATTAAAGCCTCGCTGAAATGCAAGCAAAAATGTGTAGAGTAAGAAATAGCCAACGTAAAGGGATGTTCATTTAGCTTCAACAATCAATAGAAGATTGAGACATTCATCACAATCAATAGAACTATCAGCCATTACCTGGAAAATGGTTTTGAGTACCTTTAACCCGCACCTGTGGATGGAGAAAATGCAGAAACAAAATGTATACAAAATATGTTCATATGGGAAAGCTTACAATATTAATACCGAGGAAGAATGAAAAGGAACTTACTACATAGTAGAAAGGTTCACTGAAATATTTACTTTAAGAAGGAAAGATAATCTACACCGAGAGATTACTAATAAAGAACAAAGACTAAAACATTCATTTATTATTTAGAAAACATAATTGGGCTATGGCTGAGGGAAGTCAGAAAAATGACAGGAGGTGGATAATGAGAACTTTAAAAGCAAGAGTAATAATGTCTGTTGTAGAACTTGTCAAATCACTTATGCTTTTCCGTTTAGAATGTTGTTGGGCGTTGACATCTGCATCCAAGGCAGAAGAGACAAGAGCTGGAAGCTGTCGAGAGATCGAATACTTTTTCCACCCCTCTTACATCTCATTTTAAGCACCAGTGTTCCAACACACCTAGATCCCCCGCATCCATACGCTCTCCTGTATATACATCACTATCTGCTCCTCTTCCACGGTACGTGAGTTCGATTGGACTGAAGCCAAGATCCAATGAAGCCATTAAGATACCGAGAAAGCTGAAAACTCACGAAATGTAGTCTATGCAGCGAAGAATAAAGATACTTGATAACATATGCATAAAGATATTTAAGGGAATGTTTATAATCTAAACACTATTATAACAGAAAGAGATGTGTGAGGAAGCGAGAGATAAAACAAGTGAATAACAAGGGAAGTCAGAGTACAATCAGAGAACTCTGTCAACATTCTTAGTGCAAAATTTTTCAACCTCCTGCCAGAAGATACCAGAAATGTTGCCAGAATATGTGCAGGTTTCAAGACGAAACTGGATCGCTGCCTCTAGGTACCAGATCAACCAGCCTGTGGTGGATATGTGGGCCAGCGGGCTGCCACTAGCGATAATCTGTTTGGAAAATCAATAGTCAGAAAATCCTGAAGGTAGAAAAATAAAACTCTTAACTCACGGTAATGTTCACTAATAACATGTAACACACAGGTAATGTTCACTAATAACATGTAACACACAGGTAATGTTCACTAATAACATGTAACTCACAGGTAATGTTCACTAATAACACGTAACTCACAGGTAATGTTCACTAATAACATGTAACACACAGGTAATGTTCACTAATAACACGTAACTCACAGGTAATTCTCACTAATAACATGTAACACACAGGTAATGTTCACTAATAACATGTAACACACAGGTAATGTTCACTAATAACATGTAACACACAGGTAATGTTCACTAATAACACGTAACTCACAGGTAATGTTCACTTCTAGTAGTGATTAGCTATTTTTGCTCTAGTTTATTCTAGGTGTTTATTTTCTTATTTGTAGATACCCTGGGTACTGTACATCTGTAGATACCCTGGGTACTGTACATCTGTAGATACCCTGGGTTCTGTATACTTGTTGATACTCTGGGTACCGTACATTTGTAGATACCCTGGGTAATGTACATCTGTAGATACCCTGGGTTCTGTACAATTGTAGATAACCTGGGTACCGTACATTTGTGGATACCCCTGGGTACTGTACATCTGTAGATACCCTGGGCTCTCAACACTTGTAGATACCCTGGGTACCGTACATTTGTAGATACCCTGGGTACTGTACAACTGTTGATACCCTGGGTACTGTACAACTGTTGATACCCTGGGTACTGTACAACTGTTGATACCCTGGGTACTGTACAACTGTTGATACCCTGGGTACTGTACAACTGTTGATACCCTGGGTACTGTACAACTGTTGATACCCTGGGTACTGTACAACTGTTGATACCCTGGGTACTGTACAACTGTTGATACCCTGGGTACTGTACACTTGTAGATACCCTGGGTACTGTACAACTGTTGATACCCTGGGCTCTGTACACTTGTAGATACCCTGGGTACTGTACAACTGTTGATACCCTGGGTACTGTACAACTGTTGATACCCTGGGTACTGTACATCTGTTGATACCCTGGGTACTGTACAACTGTTGATACCCTGGGTACTGTACAACTGTTGATACCCTGGGTACTGTACACTTGTAGATACCCTGGGTACTGTACAACTGTTGATACCCTGGGCTCTGTACACTTGTAGATACCCTGGGTACTGTACAACTGTTGATACCCTGGGTACTGTACAACTGTTGATACCCTGGGTACTGTACATCTGTTGATACCCTGGGTACTGTACAACTGTTGATACCCTGGGTACTGTACAACTGTTGATACCCTGGGTACTGAAACACTGTTGATACCCTGGGTACTGTACATCTGTTGATACCCTGGGTACTGTACAACTGTTGATACCCTGGGTACTGTACAACTGTTGATACCCTGGGTACTGTACACTTGTAGATACCCTGGGTACTGTACACTTGTTGATACCCTGGGTACTGTACACTTGTAGATACCCTGGGTACTGTACACTTGTTGATACCCTGGGTACTGTACATTTAGCAGCTAGAATGTATTATTTTATATTATACAGAAAACTTATTATTAATAATGTGTTAAAAATCCTTTCTCATCTATCTTTACAAAGTACATTTACCCACGTAAATATACTTTGTACTAATTAGTAAACGAAAAATACGCACCTGGAGAGTGGGAAGGGATGGGGTAATGAGGCTTGATCCGAGGATCAAGCCAGTATCATGACATCCATCTTGGGTGATTTAATCTCGTTAAATAAGCCATGGAACGGGTGGGGTTTGAAACTATGACGCGTGAGTCGTAAAACTCCAGGCCGGTGCATAACCAACTAGTCAGTGGTTCAAACCATACCCGTTCCTTGGTTTGCTTGCATTTGCGTTATTACGATTTCGTGAGTCATGGTCTTGTTAAATATATTGTATTCTTGATCTCTCCAAATTCTTGTCTTGCTTCGTTCAGGGTCAGGTAGAGGAGCGGCTCTGTGGGCTGGTGGCAGGTCACGGGTATTGCGTCACGGGGGTCAAGTTGTGTAAGGTCAATACACCTTGGCTCACACACGTCCAGTTGCTGCGTCTCAGGAACCCTTGGGGAGATGGCGTAAGTCCTACTTCAAAGAGCTTGTTCCACACCTGAAACCACTCAGAGCTATTCATCTGTTGTCCAGTAGTTCCTAGAATCTAGATCCTCCATCTATATCGTTCAGTAGTTCTTGGGTCTTTCATCTGCATATTTTCAGTGTCTCCTAGTTCCTCTATTTGTGTAATTCAGTAACTTTTATGCCCATCGTTTTTTTTCAGCTCGTGGTCGAGCAGAATTGTCATACGTGTAAATAAAGTCTTCAGCGTCTCTTTATTCCGAACGTTTCGCCTACGCAGTAGGTTTCTTCAGTCGAGTACAGAGGAAGCTGCAGACGCAGTAGAGATGTAAAGATGATGTAATCATCTTTACATCTCTACTGGGTAAAAGCGCTAAACCCCTAGGGATCATGTAGCATCTGGTCAAATGGAGGAAATCAGGTTTAATAGTGCGTATCAGTCAGATTCATTTTCTACGTGTTAAGTGGTTGTGTTGACAGCATGAGTGGAGGGGCGCCTGGTCAGACGACTCTGAGGAGTGGAGGCTGGTGCCCAAGGAAGACAAACTCAGACTGAGGCTCCAGGCTGCCGACGACGGTGAATTCTGGATGACTTTCCAGGTAGGCAGCTGTTTTGTTGTTTATTATGTGAGGTGCATGTGCGTCAGCTGAGAAAAGTTCAAGCGAGGATGCATGAAAATTGTCCGTACCTCATGGACCAGGTCAGTGCCTGGGAAAGAAAGACAACCCTATTGATAGCTTGTCAACCACCTAGTCCCCATCCCCCCCTTGATAAAATCATCTCGTTCACCTTAGGGAAACAGTCCAATAGGCAATAATGGTTAGGTGTTTTTTTTTGCGTTAAGAGGGATGATACAGCGTTAGGTTTTGAGGTTTCTAATGTTTGGTTCACGAAATGGGCGAATGACATGGTTATACTTACCTAGTTGTGGTTGCAGGGGTCGAGTCACAGCTCCTGGCCCTGTCTCTTCACTGGTCGCTACTAAGTCATTCTTCCTGCTCCATGAGCTTTATCTTACCTGCTTTTAAAGCTATGTGTGGATCCTGCCTCCACTACATCACTTCCCAGACTATTCCACTTCCTGACAACTCTGTGACTGAAGAAATACTTCCTAACATCCCTGTGATTCATCTGAGTCTAACTTCCAATTATGACCTCTTGTTGCTGTGTCCCATCTGTGTCCACCTTGTCAATTCTCATTATTTTATATGTCGTTATCATATCCCCCCAATTTCTCCTGTTCTCGAGTGTCGTCAGGTCGATTTCCCTTAACCTCTCTTTGTAGGACATGCCCCTTAGCTCCGGGATTAGTCTTGTTACAAACCTTTGCACTTTCTCTAATTTCCTTACGTGCTTGGCTGGGTGTGGGTTCCAAACTGGTGCTTCATACTCCAATATAGGCCTGACATACACGGTGTTCAGGGTTCTGAACGGTTCCTTATTTGGATGTCGGAATGCTATTTTTAGGTTTGCTAGGCGCCCATATGCTGCAGCAGTGATTTGGTTGATGTGCTCCTCAGGAGATGTGCCCGGTGTTATGCTCACCCCAAGATCCTTTTCCTTGAGTGAGGTTTGTAGTCTCCTGGCCCCTAGACTGTACTCCGTCTGTGGTCTTCTTTGCCCTTCCCCACTCTTCATGACCTTGCACTTGGTGGGGTTGAACTCCAGGAGCCAGTTTCTAGACCAGCCTGCAGCCTGTCCAGATCCCGTTGTCGTTCTTCCTGGTCTTCGTCCGACTGAATTCTTCTCATCAACTTCACATCTGCAAACAGGCACACTTCGGAGTCTATTCCTTCTATCATGTCGTTCACATATACCAGACACAGCACCGATCCTAGGACTGATCCCTGTAGAAGCCCGCTCGTCACAGGCACCCACTCTGACACCTCGTTAAGTACCATGACTCTCTTATGTCTTCCCGACAGGTATACCCTGATTCATTGCAGTGCCTACCCTGTTATACCTGCCTGGTCCTCCAGCTTATGCACTAATCTCTTATGTGGAATTGTGTCAAAAGACTTCTTACAGTCCAAGAAAACGCAATCTACTCACTCTTTTCTTACTACTGTCACCCTGTCATAGAACTCCAGTGGGTTTATGACACGGGATTTCCCATCCCTGAAACCGTGCTGGTTGTCGTTGATAAGCTCATTCCTTTCTAGGTGTTTCACCACTCTTCTCTTGACAATCTTCTTCATGACTCTGCATACTATGCATGTCAATTACACTGGTCTGTAGTTTAATGCTTGGTGTTTGCCTCCTTTTTTAAAAATTGGGAGTACATTTGCTGTCTTCCATACCTCAGATAGTCGCCTTGTTTCGATAGTGTTGAAGATTGTTGTTAGTGTCACACATAGCGCCTCTGCTCCCTATCTCACGACCCATGGAGAGATGTTATCCGGCCCAATCGCCTTTGAGGTAGCTTGTTTAGCAGCCTCTTCACTTCTTCCTCGGTTGCATGCATTGTGTCCAACACTTGATGGTGTACCCCACCTCTCCGTCTTTCTGGAGTCCCTTCTGTCTCCTCTGTGAACACTTCTTTGAATCTCATGTTGTGCTCCTCACATGCTTCTCGGTCGTTTCTTGTGATCTCCCCTCAATCCTTCCTCAATCTGATTACCTGGTCCTTGACTATTGTTTTCCTCCTGATATGACTGTACAACAGCTTCGGGTCAGATTTGGCCTTCGCTGCTATGCCATTTTCGTATTGTCGTTGGGCCTCAATTCTTACCTGTGCATATTCATTTCTGGCTCTACTACTGCTCTCCTTATTTCCTGGGTCCTTTGCATTCTATACTTCTTCCATTCTCTAGCATACTTGGTTTTGGCCTCTCTGCACCTTTGAGTAAACCAAGGGCTTATCTTGACCTCGTTATTTCTGTTATCCTTGGGTAAAAACCTCTCCTCAGCTTCCTTGCATATCTTCTCTACTCAAGGTAAATACTAGGTTCAGTCTTGCTGGCTCATCCTCTCTCTCTCTCTCTCTCTCTCTAGTAGTGTCTGTTACGTGTTGGTACATGAGGTTTTCCAGTACCTCCTCCATCATCTTAGCCCTACTGTAGACAGCCTGTACTGTCTGCACAGACAGCCCATGCTGTCTGCCAGCTTAGTTCATATTTCGCGCCATGCTGGTGCTGCCACCTATAGGCGTTGCCACTTCAGCCTGCCTGCCCTTGCCTCACTCTCACTCTCACAGCAGCCTAGCAGGAAGACACAAGTACTCCCAGCTCTCTCTCGTGGGATGGCCCTCCCGGGCCATGGGCACAACACAAGCCTGTGTACCCACCACGACTTAACAATAAACAAAGAAGCCTCCGAAGACGTATCATTTACACCCCGCTACCAGAATACCAAATAATCCTTTTACTACACATTTCTGAAGTCCCTATGTGACTCCAGGTTCTCCCAGTCAATTTCTTTGTGATTGAAGTCATCCACAATTAGTAGCTTTGCCCTGCTGTCATGAGCCCTTCTGGCCACTTCAGGCAGTGTGTCAACCATCGCTCTGTTACTCTCATCATATTCTTGCCTTGGCCTTCTTCTGTTCTGTGGTGAGTTATACATAACTGCAATTACCACTTGGGACCTCCAGACTGAAGTGTTCCTATTATGTAGTCTCTTGCTTCTTCTCTGTCTTTTGTGAGTCACTCTAAAAGACGTCCACTTCTCTCCAGCTAAACTCACTATGAACTGGAGGTTTCCTCCTCCTACTATCTCTCGTTACAATTGGATCATCGAAGCAAAGTAAAATTATCATTTCCTATCAGACTAACACCGTTAGAGTAATTACCTCGATGAAATTGCTCCACAAAGCAAGCCAGACTTTAATTTAAAAAAGTTTTAGGAACTTTGTAGAACAAGCTTTCACTGAGAATACATTTAACTGTGCAAAGCTTTATCACTACAATGTTCCCATGTAATCCTTGCTTGGCAATATGTCGGCAATAAAATATAGGGATATTGTTTTTATTTTTTATTACCCAGGCATTCAAAGAGAACTTCGAGGAGGTGTATATAACGAGTCTGAACCCGCACACTCTCAACAAGGAGGCGCTGGAACATCTGTACACACTGGCTGATGTTGTCACTCATGTCTTACACCACCCGGAAGAGAAGAGGCAGCAGCAGCAGGACAAGCTCACACGCAGAAAGTTGTGGGAGGTGGTCAAGTATGACGGGTCCTGGGTGAGGAAGGTCACCGCAGGAGGCGCTCCCAATGACTTGAGTGAGTGAAAGGGGGTCTTGGGGTGCAGAAGGGATCTTGGGGGTGCAGGTAGGATCTTGGGGGTGCAAGAGGGGTCTTTCGGGGTGCAGGATGGGTTCTTGGGGATACAGGGTGGCCTCTTGGGGATGCATGAGGGGTCTTGGAGTGCAAGAGGGGTCTTAGGGGTGCAAGAGGGGTCTTAGGGTGCAAGAGGGGTCTTAGGGTGCAAGAGGGTCTTGGGGTGAGAGGGCCTTAGGGGTTCAAGATGTATTTTTGGGGAAGGAAAGAGTACTGTAAATAGGAAGGGGCACTGAGGAAAAAACAGAGCATAGTATTCACGAAAAAAACGTTGGGTTACTTAGTTCAAGTGGTGGTTGCTCGATCCTCCGTTTGCTAATCGCGACCCGATTTCTGTCCAGCCTGAGAAAAGGGAAAGAAGCGACTGGGAGAGAAAGGGGCAATTAAGTCATAAGTGGCAATTCCCCCCCTCCCCTGGTAATTGTCCATTGCATAAACTGTTCTTTATGTATGAGCCTAGTTCGCTAGGCTCATATTGTTTGTAGGATTGTATGATCCAATGGTTTAGAGCGACGTGAATTTTCGCTCTCGTCTCACGAGGCGGGCTAAAACAACACGGGTTCGATCCCCCGACTAACCGTGCCCTGTGACCTTTTGGCTAAAGCTCTCGCTTCACACGGCTAGGGTCCGGGCTCAATTCCGGTGAGGGTAAAAACACTAGGCGTGTTTCTTTACATCGGTTGCCTATGTTCACCCATCAGTAAAATGGGCACCTGAGTGTTAGTCGGCTGGTGTGGGTCGCATCCTGGGACACTGACCTAATTTGTTCGAAATGCTCAGCATAACAAGCGGCTTTCTGTATAGTAGTATGTCATTGATGTCAACTAGGACTGTATACCTTGTACATGTACTTGTAGAAATAAAGATATTATTAATATATTAAATATCACCTGATCGTGGTTACAAATATATATATATATATATAATAATAAGAAGAAGAAAATTGTCAAAGTGGGAAGTCTGAATGTGCGTGGATGTTGTGCAGATGATAAGAAAGAGATGATTGTGGATGTTATGAATGAGAAGAAGCTGGATGTCCTGGCTTTAAGTGAAACAAAGCTGAAGGGGGTGGGAGAGTTTCAGTGGAGAGGAATAAATGGGATTAGGTCAGGGGTTTCAAATAGAGTTAGAGCTAAAGAAGGAGTAGCAATAATGTTGAAGGATAAGCTATGGCAGGAAAAGAGGGACTATAAATGTATTAATTCAAGGATTATGTGGAGTAAAATAAAGATTGGATGTGAAAAGTGGGTTATAATAAGCGTGTATGCACCTGGAGAAGAGAGAAGTGTAGAGGAGAGAGAGAGATTTTGGGAAATGTTGAGTGAATGCGTGGGGAGTTTTGAATCAAGTGTGAGAGTAATGGTGGTTGGGGATTTTAATGCTAAAGTGGTAAAAATGTTATGGAGGGAGTAGTAGGTAAATTTGGGGTGCCAGGGGTAAATGTAAATGGGGAGCCTTTAATTGAGCTATGTGTAGAAAGAAATTTGGTAATAAGTAATACATATTTTATGAAAAAGAGGATAAATAAATATACAAGGTATGATGTAGCACGTAATGAAAGTAGTTTATTAGATTATGTATTGGTGGATAAAAGGTTGATGGGTAGGCTCCAGGATGTACATGTTTATAGAGGGGCAACTGATATATCGGATCATTATTTAGTTGTAGCTACAGTTAGAGTAAGAGGTAGATGGGAAAAGAGGAAGGTGGCAACAACAAGTAAGAGGGAGGTGAAAGTGTATAAACTAAGGGAGGAGGAAGTTCGGGTGAGATATAAGCGACTATTGGCAGAAAGGTGGGCTAGTGCAAAGATGAGTAGTGGGGGGTTGAAGAGGGTTGGAATAGTTTTAAAAATGCAGTATTAGAATGTGGGGCAGAAGTTTGTGGTTATAGAGGGTGGGGCAGGAGGAAAGAGGAGTGATTGGTGGAATGATGAAGTAAAGGGTGTGATAAAAGAGAAAAAGGTAGCTTATGAGAGGTTTTTACAAAGCAGAAGTGTTATAAGAAGAGCAGAGTATATGGAGAGTAAAAGAAAGGTAAAGAGAGTGGTGAGAGAGTGCAAAAGGAGAGCAGATGATAGAGTGGGAGAGGCACTGTCAAGAAATTTTAATGAAAATAAGAAAAAATTTTGGAGTGAGTTAAACAAGTTAAGAAAGCCTAGGGAAAATATGGATTTGTCAGTTAAAAACAGAGTAGGGGAGTTAGTAGATGGGGAGATGGAGGTATTGGGTAGATGGCGAGAAATTTTGAGGAACTTTTAAATGTTAAGGAAGAAACAGAGGCAGTAATTTCATGCACTGGTCGGGGAGGTATACCATCTTTTAGGAGTGAAGAAGAGCAGAATGTAAGTGTGGGGGAGGTACGTGAGGCATTACGTAAAATGAAAGGGGGTAAAGCAGCTGGAACTGATGGGATCATGACAGAAATGTTAAAAGCAGGGGGGATATAGTGTTGGAGTGGTTGGTACTTTTGTTTAATAAATGTATGAAAGAGGGGAAGGTACCTAGGGTTTGGGCAGAGAGCATGTATAGCCCCTTTATATAAAGGGAAAGGGACAAAAGAGACTGTAAAAATTATAGAGGAATAAGCTTACTGAGTATACCAGGAAAAGTGTACGGTAGGGTTATAATTGAAAGAATTAGAGGTAAGACAGAATGTAGGATTGCGGATGAGCAAGGAGGTTTTAGAGTGGGTAGGGGATGTGTAGATCAGGTGTTTACATTGAAGCATATATGTGAACAGTATTTAGATAAAGATAGGGAAGTTTTTATTGCATTTATGGATTTAGAAAAGGCATATGATAGAGTAGATAGAGGAGCAATGTGGCAGATGTTGCAAGTATATGGAATAGTGGTAAGTTATTAAATGCTGTAAAGAGTTTTTATGAGGATAGTGAGGCTCAGGTTAGGGTGTGTAGAAGAGAGGGAGACTACTTCCCGGTAAAAAGTAGGTCTTAGACAGGGATGTGTAATGTCACCATGGTTGTTTAATATATTTATAGATGGGGTTGTAAAGGAAGTAAATGCTAGGGTGTTTGGGAGAGGGGTGGGATTAAATTATGGGGAATCAAATTCAAAATGGGAATTGACACAGTTACTTTTGCTGATGATACTGTGCTTATGGGAGATTCTAAAGAAAAATTGCAAAGGTTAGTGGATGAGTTTGGGAATGTGTGTAAAGGTAGAAAGTTGAAAGTGAACATAGAAAAGAGTAAGGTGATGAGGGTGTCAAATGATTTAGATAAAGAAAAATTGGATATCAAATTGGGGAGGAGGAGTATGGAAGAAGTGAATGTTTTCAGATACTTGGGAGTTGACGTGTCGGCGGATGGATTATGAAGGATGAGGTTAATCATAGAATTGATGAGGGAAAAAAGGTGAGTGGTGCGTTGAGGTATATGTGGAGTCAAAAAACGTTATCTATGGAGGCAAAGAAGGGAATGTATGAAAGTATAGTAGTACCAACACTCTTATATGGGTGTGAAGCTTGGGTGGTAAATGCAGCAGCGAGGAGACGTGTTGGAGGCAGCGGAGATGTCCTGTTTAAGGGCAATGTGTGGTGTAAATATTATGCAGAAAATTCGGAGTGTGGAAATTAGGAGAAGGTGTGGAGTTATATAAAAGTATTAGTCAGAGGCAGAAGAGGGGTTGTTGAGGTGGTTTGGTCATTTAGAGAGAATGGATCACAGTAGAATGACATGGAAAGCATATAAATCTATAGGGGAAGGAAGGCGGGTAGGGGTCGTCCTCGAAAGGGTTGGAGAGAGGGGGTAAAGGAGGTTTTTGTGGGTAAGGGGCTTGGACTTCCAGCAAGCGTGCGTGAGCGTGTTAGATAGGAGTGAATGGAGACGAATGGTACTTGGGACCTGACGATCTGTTGGAGTGTGAGCAGAGTAATATTTAGTGAAGGGATTCAGGGAAACCGGTTATTTTCATATAGTCGGACTTGAGTCCTGGAAATGGGAAGTACAATGCCTGCACTTTAAAGGAGGGGTTTGGGATATTGGCAGTTTGGAGGGATATGTTGTGTATCTTTATATGTTTATGCTTCTAGACTGTTGTATTCTGAGCACCTCTGCAAAAACAGTGATAATGTGCGAGTGTGGTGAAAGTGTTGAATGATGATGAAAGTATTTTCTTTTTGGGGATTTTCTTTCTTTTTTGGGTCACCCTGCCTCGGTGGGAGACGGCCGACTTGTTGAAAAAAAAAAAAAAAAAAAAAAAAAAAAAAAATATAATAAAATATATATATAATATATATATATATATATATATATATATATATATATATATATATTATATATATATATTCATGCTTGTGTTTTCTGTAAATGTATTCTGTCTATTAATAAATTTTCCCAAAGAATATAAAATATAGAGGGTGGTAAGAGAAGAAAATACTCAAACAGCTCCGGGAAGAACCTTGAGTTTTCCCTGAGGTACGTTTATTGTCTCTGAGGACGAGGGTCCCCATTCCAGTTATAGAGGTGGTACCTATATATATATATATATATATATATATATATATATATATATATATATATATATATATATATATATATATATATATATACAAACACTGATCTCTGGCTGAAGGAGACTCGAACCTACGAACCTTAGGACAAGGTACGCAGTGCTTTACCAATCTACCCACACTGGACAAGACCTTGGCGTGTAGCTTGCGCTACACGTTTGATCCAAGGCAGCCAGCTTTCAAGGAGAAGGCTTACAGCTTTTCATCTCATCCCCTGCATGCATCAGCCTTACTAAAGATTTGAACAATGCAAGGAATTCGCGAGAGCAGGCGAAATATACACAAACACTGATCTCTGGCTGAAGGAGACTCGAACCTACGAACCTTAGGACAAGGTACGCAGTGCTTTACCAATCTACCCAAACTGGACAATACCTTGGCGTGTACTTGCGCTACACGTTTGATCCAAGGCAGCCAGCTTTCAGGGAGAAGGCTTACAGCTTTTCATCTCATCCCCTGCATGCATCAGCCTTACTAGAGATTTGAACAATGCAAGGAATTCGCCTGCTCTCGCGAATTCCTTGCATATATATATATATATATATATATAATATATATATAATATATATATATATATATATATATATATATATATATATATTATATATATATCGTGCCAAATAGGTAAAACTTGCAATTTTGGCATAAATAGCAACGCTCTTTTTTGCCGAATAAGGCAAGCGAAAATTTGTGTATGCAATAATTTCGCAAAAATCATTCTGAACCTAACGAAAAAAAAAATATTTCTTTGTGTTTGTTTATTATTAAATTATTGTAAACTTATCTAAAATATAAATAGTTGAATTAGGCTAAATTAAATTGCGCTTGTTATAATAAAGTTAGGTAAGCTTTCTAAGATTCTTTTGGTACAAAAGTATTAATTTTTACATTAACATAAATGAAAAAATTATGTCTTTAAACGTATAAGAGCAAAATTTTAGAAAGGACTTAATTTTAAAAGAGTTCTTGCTAATGTCAATGTACTTTCTTGTGCTGCCATCTGTCGTGCCTTGCAGGACTCTTCAGCAGTAACCCCCAGTATCTGCTACACCTGAAGGAGGCTGACGACGAGGCTATGGAGGGTGGCACTTGTACTGTAGTCATCTCCCTCACTCAAAAACATCGCAGGGTCAACAACCTGCCACTCCTGCAGGTCGCCGTCAGCGTCTACCAGGTCATGAACGGCAGAACTTTATTGTTGTACTTTGATCAAAACAAGGGCTTATACGCCCTCTGAAGATCTCTTAATCAAGTAATTAGTGGCACCTTTCCTTCCACAGATCAAAACCTGATTGCCTGCTATTTTCCAGGCTCTGCATGTCCCCTCCGGGTTAAATGCTTCCCCGTAGATGAAAAAAATAAGCATTGACTGATTATAAAATAAATTTTCCATTACATTTTAGCGAACAAAACAATATTCAGTCAAACGAGCTCAACATTTTTCTAATGTTAAACGCACCTGTCGTGGGCCAAGAAAGATTTTGACAGCGGAAAAATAACACAGTCTAGCCTCACGGGATCCAGAATTATGAACACAAAATTTTTGCAGAATTAATCCAAAAGGTAACTTTTTTTTTTTCACTATGCCTCAGCACATTCCACACCAACGCGACCACCAGTACAAGAGTTTTTTACCTTTTGGGTGCGACACCCTGACTCGCCCAGTGGATAGCCAATACGTACTTGGTCAACTACTCGGTGGTCATTAAAGAGAGTGTCACCTGTTCACCATCAGCATAAATATACCGACAGATACGAGTCTTTCGGGGTAAATACCCTCGAGTCAGTAGAATACTTTTCAAAGAATTAACAGATCAAGGCTTATCAAAATCACTTGTTATGACGAGATTCCCAACGTTGTCATTCGTTGACCAGAGTGAAGGTGTCTGAAGCTCCCTGGTGGTCAACACAGCAAACACTGGTACCCACGGTGTGGACACGGAGTTATTATTTTACTTGAAACGTTGTATACATATAACAGGCAGTGGTTGTTGTAAACATACAAAAATGTGAAAAAATTGCTAAATAAGGTTTAACAGTGAATCAACAAGAAATCAACCAGGCTAGCATATAACACAGTCAACCAGTATAGATGTATAATGCCAATGAATGCAATCACTACACAATACACACAACACAAAATACATTGAAACAGAATACTCAGAGCACCAAAACATGCCCATAAATAGACAGAGAAAAACGCAGAGATGTAACCTCAAATATGTTTACCTAGCTTATCATAACAAAAGTTTACAATACGGACTGATACCTAACTGATATGAAATGCCTATGACTAAAATAAAAGAAGACTTAGTCACTTATGGAAAACAATACACTCACAGCAAAGATTGCATAACATGCACGAAAATCAACCACATACACTGCCATTTAATTATAATTATTATTATTATAATCAAAAAGAAGCGCTAAGCCACAAGGACTATACAGCTGCCATTTAATACTCACAATAATGTAATACAATTTAATACTAACAATAATATAACAGAATCTTAAGAATCTGAAGGGAGGTTCCTTAATGCTGGTGAGAGGCTCTTGATCTAGAGAGCTGGATTTGTGCTCCAATTCCCTGAATTTAACCTATATGCTTTCCATCCCCACCCCCCACAGGAGCTGTATATTCTTATGGGTTTAGCGCCCCCCCCATGATAATAATACGATACAGAGCACTCTCACCTTACGAACATAATACAAACATTCCCACCCAGCAGACGACAGCACTGACACAATGTCCTCATGTCGAAGGGTAAGGAAGAAATAGTTTCTTGGGATTACAGGACCATAGCTTTATTATGTATGGATTATAAGAGTTTTACGAAGATTTTAGGGAGTAGATAAAAAAAGAGCGTTGGGTGGGTTAACTAAACAAGGATAATTTGGGATATAAGGCAGGTCGATTGTGGCGGGTAGGTTTATTATAGAAGATTCTTTTGTAGATATACAACCTTGTGGGAGAGAGGGGGCCCTCATCTCCCTGGACTGGAAGAGGGTGCACAAATCTGTCTTGAGGGGGATGTTGAGTGCGGGGCTCCAACAGTGGGGTTTTGGGGAGAAAATGAGGTGGGTAGAAACGATAGATGGGACAGCAATGAATCTGGTTGTGATTAATGGGAAATCAGGAAAGGGGATTGTATTGGAATAGGAAGTGATGATATTGCTGTGTTTATTAGTGTGTTCAAGGTTAGACGAGTTAAAGGAAGTGGTTATAAGGTATGGAAAGGGGCAGGGCTATTAGTACACCTAGGAGGGAGTGGGGTTGTTGTTCTCTTATCACACCGGAGAAGGAGCCGTTGAAGATTTGTGGGAGTCAATATGCTAATAAGGGCCTAGCGGGGAAGGTTAACTCAGAACTCTATAATAACTCAGAAGCACACAGGACTTCCTCCATCACATCTTCTTAAGCTCCAGCAAAGGGAGACAGTAAGTACCTTACTGTATAACAAGGATTTTATGTCTCGAAGTTATATCCTCTGACGGGGAAGGTGGCATGGCAGAGTTAGGTAGCAGGGTTTAAATTTCTCTGAGAGACTAAATGTGAGTGGATCAAACGGGAGATAGTGATGTTGCCCACGAAGAAAGGATGTAAGGGAGAGGTGTTGGGTTATTGGATATGCAGAGGCGGACGTTGTTTATATATGTAGAGAGGTTAGTAGTTCTAATGGGAACTTTAAAGGAAGATTGTATGAGGAGAATGTATGGGAGGTTGTGTGGAACTATCAAGGGAAGGAAGATGGACGATTGTTTGAGATTAAGGATGCTTATGCTGCTACCAGAGCTTAGGAGGGTTCCAATTCGAAGCTTCTGTGGAATCTTCATGAAGGGGGGCGAAGTCCTGTCGAGGAGTTGTATGCTTGGTCAAGCAGATGTGTCATTGCTAGGGAAATCATATACAAGTTCCTACATGTCATTTCACCCTCACTGGCTGTGCCCCTGTACTGGAAGAGTGTTTCTTCAGCAGCATGTCTCGTGTGGGCAAGAGAATACTACGTATCATGTCAAGTATTGTTGTGACAGGTTGTTTGAATTATGTTCGGGGTGTTGGAGTGTATAACGTTATGGGTGACTGTCTCTTTCCCACGTTTGCTAATAGTGGAATTTCTTAGTCTGTGACATATCTTGTACTAGAATATGTGGAGACTGTGGGTGCTTCTGGGTGCCAACCTCGAGTTAGTGGTCAGCACAAGGCTGCTTTCAGCCAAATTCTACAGAAGCCTTTGTATGAAGAATTACATATAGGTGGTAATGTGTATGAGAGATTTAGTGGCAATATAATAAAGAACAGAGGTGGTGGTCTGGGGTACAAGTTTGGGGTGGGCGTGTCCTGCTTGGTACACTCCCTCATAATACATCTCATGGGCTCTTATTGCTGTTTTATTTTGGCAATATGCTGAATTACATAATGCACATTAGATAGCTCTTTTTAGTTAATGGATTCATGTAGACAGAACGTCTGCAATTCCTAACCGAGTTTTTTTTTTGTTCATTATGTTAGGTGATACCATGTTAGTGATGAATGATGATGTATTGAATTACATCAGGTGAAAATTTGTTTGCAGAGGCGTAACCTCTGTGTTTGTTGTATATATCGTTATTTCAATGATTATTTATAATCTGTACTTGAGCTGGGTTGTTATATTTATTGTAATTGCCGTGTTTAGTTTTCAATATCAACATTGTAATCAACGTGGCTGTACCTATGTAACATAGTGACACTGGTGACAGTGTTGCAGCCTTGTCAGCAGTATGTAGTGTGGTTGTTGTTTAGCGAACCTCCGCTCATACTTTTGTGTATTATTTGGTGTTTATTTTGATATATAATGTAACGTGGAGAGTCTCTTTCCTTAGTGTCAACTTTGTTGTTAAATATATTTTATGAAAGTCTAGAGGTGGTCTTTGTCTGGAAAGTCTACACGATTATCGTTTTAGCTGATGTTTGTGGCATTGGATTTTTAATTTGTATTTGTGAATATTATGGTATATTTCTTGTTTTGTTAAGTGTTATGTTTTTGTTCGTTCATCGTATGAGGCTTTGAAGCTTTTTCTTATACAAATATATTAGTGATGTTCCCCATAAAACATCGGAATAGAAATATTTTAAAGGCATATTTTTAGAATGGAAATACAAGGTTAACCGTCCAGGATTCAGCGTGGTAACATTATCATTATCATAACTAAGCGCTAAACCCACAAGGGTCATACAGCTCAGCATGGTAGCAAACATTTATAGAACCTACATATTCAAACTGGATTAAAAAAAAATTTCCGAGTTTCACACAAAACTGTTTATGGAAATTTTAAGAGAATTGCACAATTATTATATCTGTTATATTATTATACATCCATTATTTTATTATCATTAAGTACACGATGCGTCGTACAGAGTGGAGGGACACTATAATACTGTGTATTATTATTATTATTATTATTATTATTATATATTATTATTATTATTATTATTATTATTATTATTATTATGGGGAGCGCTTAACCACGTAGGGACTATACAGCGCCTGTGAGGGGATGATGGGATGGAAGGTATTCAGGCTTAATTCAAGGAAGTGGAGAACAGATCCAATGTTATGTGGAGGGACACAATGTATGATACACAGTGTGTGATGCGTAGTGTATGATACACTGTGTGATGCGTAGTGTATGATACACAGTGTGTGATGCGTAGTATATGATACACAGTGTGTGATGCGTAGTGTATGATACACAGTGTGTGATGCGTAGTGTATGATACAGTGTGTGATGCGTAGTATATGATACACAGTGTGTGATGCGTAGTGTATGATACACAGTGTGTGATGCGTAGTGTATGATACACAGTGTGTGATGCGTAGTATATGATACACAGTGTGTGATGCGTAGTGTATGATACACAGTGTGTGATGCGTAGTGTATGATACACAGTGTGTGATGCGTAGTATATGATACACAGTGTGTGATGCGTAGTGTATGATACACAGTGTGTGATGCGTAGTGTATGATACAGTGTGTGATCCGTAGTGTATGATACAGTGTGTGATGCGCAGTGTATGATACAGTGTGTGATGCGTAGTGTATAATACACAGTGTGTGATGCGTAGTGTATGATACACAGTGCGTGATGCGTAGTGTATGATACACAGTGTGTGATGCGTAGTGTATGATACAGTGTGTGATGCGTAGTGTATGATACACAGTGTGTGATGCGTAGTGTATGATACACAGTGTGTGATGCGTAGTGTATGATACACAGTGTGTGATCCGTAGTGTATCAGTGTGTGATGCGTAGTGTATCATACAGTGTGTGATGCGTAGTGTATGATACACAGTGTGTGATGCGTAGTGTTTGATACAGTGTGTGATGCGTAGTATATGATACACAGTGTGTGATGCGTAGTGTATGATACACAGTGTGTGATGCGTAGTGTATAATAGTGTGTGATGCGTAGTGTATGATACACTGTGTGATGCGTAGTGTATGATACACAGTGTGTGATGCGTACTGTATGATACACAGTGTGTGATGCGTAGTGTTTGATACAGTGTGTGATGCGTAGTATATGATACACAGTGTGTGATGCGTAGTGTATGATACAGTGTGTGATGCGTAGTGTATGATACACTGTGTGATGCGTAGTGTATGATACACTGTGTGATGCGTAGTGTATGATACACAGTGTGTGATGCGTAGTGTTTGATACAGTGTGTGATGCGTAGTGTATGATACACTGTGTGATGCGTAGTGTATGATACACTGTGTGATGCGTAGTATATGATACAGTGTGTGATGCGTAGTGTATGATACACAGTGTGTGACAAAACACACAAGGAAACACTTGGCCCTTGTATCCTGTAGGTAAATAATATAATTCGCACACTTTTACTCGAGGAGAAAAATCCTTAGGATCCGGAAGAATGGGTGACACTTATGTTCTATCCAGAGGATTATTATCATGAGCGCTAAACCAGCAGGGAGTATGTAGCGCCTGTGGGGGGGGGGGAGTTTGGAAGACATTCAGGCTTAATTCAGGGAAGTGGAGCACAGATCCAATTCCCTATATCAAAAGCCTCTCACCAATCCAGAGAAGAAAAGACCCTTATGCCTTGGATAAAGAGCCCTTGACCAGCATGAAAGAAGTCCCTTGAAGGGATGCTAACATGATAAACTGTTGCAGATGGAGGACGGAGAAGCGGTGACGACACCGCTACATGTATCCTGGTTCAGACTCAATCGTCCGCTGCTCCTGACGAAGTTTGTCAGAACCCGCACGGTGACCCGCCGCCTGCACCTACCGCCAGGGAGGTACATCATCATCCCCTGCACCCACAGCCCTGACCAGGAAGGAGACTTTCTCCTGCGTGTGTTCTGCCAGAAGTCTGCCACCATGAAGTACGCTAATGTCTTGATTGTGTTCCCCTGACAAGCTCTGGAAGGGTTGGTGTGGCCCTGGGAGGGTCCGAGTGGCCCTGTGAGTGTTGGTGGGGCCCTGACAGTGTAGGAGTGGCCCTATGAATGTTGGTGTGGGCTTGGAAGGGTTGGTGTGGCCCTGGCAGGCTTAGAGTGGCTCTGTGAGTTTTGGTGGGGCCCTCGCAGGGTTGGAGTGGCCCTGTGGGTTGGTGGGGCCCTGACAGTGTTGGAGTGGCCCTGTGAGTGTTGGTGGGGCCCTGACAGTGTTGGGGTGGCCCTGTGAGTGTTGGTGGGGCCCTGACAGTGTTAGAGTGGCCCTGACAGTGTTGGAGTGGCCCTGTGAGTGTTGGTGGGGCCCTGGCAGTGTTGGAGTGGCCCTGTGAGTGTTGGTGTGGCCCTGGGAGACAACTGTCTGAAAAATGGTAGGTAATCAGTATTCATCCAAGGAAAGGGAGGGTATAGGCTATCTTGCTAGCCTATGAAAGGGGAGTATAGATCAAGAGTATTGGATCAAAAGTCCTTCACCAGTTCCTGAAGGAACATACACATTAAAATAAGGAGAAATGAGCTATGCATAAAGGGGGAAAATCAAAGAATGCGCATAAAATGCGCATTGAAGCGCATTTACGTAACACGTGGGCACGCGGTGGAAGTTACTGCAGTGCTACTGCAGTATTAGCTCTCGCAGTGTTACTGCATTATTAGCTATCGCAGTGTAAGCTAGTGCATTGTAAGTTATTGAATTGTGAGGTTTTGCAGTGTAAGTTTCTGAACTGTAAGTTACTGCATTGTAAGTTGCTACATTGTTTCTGATTGCAACCATACATTGCAGGGAGCACGACGAGAGTCCCATGCTGGTGGATACCCACCTTGAGGTGAGCTCTGAGCCTCGTACTCTACACCTGATGACACTCACTGAAACACACACGGTGCACAAGTCATTTCTTAAGAGGCACGTAAGTTCCCCGTCTTCTAATAACATGTTTATTTTTCCACTATAATCTACCTTGCCCATAATTACTATCGCATTTGTTTTATCTGTGTCGTAAGGTGAAGTCCAGGATCTTTCCTTAATTTATGGTATAACTTAACAAATCTTTGATGACAATTGTGTTGCAGATGTCTGAGCACAGCTCAGACCACTGTTAAGTTTTTTTATATTTTATTTAAAAAACACACAAAACATTAACTCAACAAAGTATACAGAATCAGATCATCGACAAACAATATAGTCATCGTTGTCGAAACACTGCGCCATGCAGTAATGTCAAAATATATACACGTCATGCAGCTGATAGATGTATACTGCCATGATACATAATTCCATTGCAATAAAAATTAAATGTGCGAGTACGACAAAATAGAGTCCCCTTACCCCTTCCCATCAACAAAATCCAATATACACACAGTAAAATACATGCCGAAAAAATGCAAGCAGTATAACGACCCCCCCCCCCTATGTACCCCAATTCACCAAAATGTACAACATTTTACCATTGTTTATTTAACTTATAGATTAACCAAACCAATTTAAGCCTAAGAACATATTATATTAATGACAATAACAACTCTACAGTAGTGACAAAATGCCAACTGTTATCCTAACATTTTAAAAGTTGTATCAAAAAAACATTTTACAGTGCATAGATAGTGCTATACATAGCTGACTGGCGCCAAGACACCAACAGTTCTAACAGGTAAAATACAATACCGAATACATAACAGTCCCACAATAAATACGCATGCCACCAACTGTAGCCATGTCCCATCCCCTATACCCTATCCACCTTTCACATATATACTTTCCTACATGTACACTAAACACATGCGTATATTAAACCTAACTTATACAACTAACAATATGTAGTGCACATAATGACTTACAATGTTCGTCAAGATTCAAAACACCCTAACATAAAATGACCAATACAGCTCTGTTTTAGGTCTCATGTGTATGAGGGAATAACTCCATCAAGTTATAGTGCATATAAATCAGTATGTTGTTATACATAACATAAAACAGTGACAACCGCCATATATCCTTACAACATAATGCAAGGTTAATTAACACATGATAACAGAGTCCTCTACAAAACCCAGGTATCCCCGGGTGCACAGGACAACAAACATAAGCAAAAAACGGTAAATGGAACACATTACATGTAAAGCACACCGCTCGATAGAGACTCCGTAACACTAATGGATAACTAATCATACAAAAACAGACATGTGGAATATTGCAAGTTAGATTAAACAAAACAGCCAACATTGCAAATAAAGCAACTGACGAAACCATTGCTCATCCACACCAATAACATACCAGAACCAACCCTCTCCCCCCCCTCCTGCTTCCACCCTTATCATAATACTGCTCAGTCCACTTTCACGCCAGATCATCGCTGTCCACCAGCCCATTGCCGCCCTGTTCCAATTAATCCGCGAAGTTTTGCCTCCGTCATATCGCGATACCCTTCAGGAAAAAACACAATCCACCTGCTACTATAGACGCTTCTGTTTCTGCACATTGTTCCGTAAAAAACGTGCAGCCAACGCCCCGATCCTACCAGTGCCTCGTACCTCACGCATTCCCCAGGACATGTACAAATAGTCCACGACGATATATCTTAACGCTCGCGCCACATCCTGTGTCACCCCATCCACGTCAAGGAGTAACGCCCTTAACATAGCCACCCTCCCCCCTCCCAACATCCTTAAAACACCTCGCATCCACAACCTTACCTCTTCTAGGGATGGACAAAAATACACTGCATGAAAAGCCGTTTCTTCATCACAATGTACGCAGGTTGCATCCTCAACAAAACCCATTTTCCATAACATTACCTTAGACGCCAGGATCCCCATCATAAATCTATACACCACCACCTGCGCCTTGGCTGGTATACGAAGCCGCCGGAATTCCTCCCAAATTACCTTCCAATTATACGTGGGATAAATCTCCACCCCTGACAATGCTTCCTGCCGAAATCCTACATTCACCAGCCTTCCTACACGCATACCATGGACATCCCTCACTTTTAACATGAATTGCAGCAAGTCTTCACACGCCTCTAGTTCCTTTCCACGCCACCAACATCTGACTTCTCTTCCAACCTCCCCCACCCTACATCCTCTAGTCCCCCCTAATCTCAAGTAACACGCTCATACATATATTGCTCTCACCCTAGGTCCCAAAGCTAGCAAACCTAAACCCCCCGCTCGTACTCCAGACATTACCACCTCACGTCGCAACCATGCCCGTCCATATCCCCACACATACCTCAACACCCTCCTCTGCATCTCCGTTACGTCACAGGCCCTCAAAGGGTAAACAACTACCACTCCCCAGACTTTACTATACACAAGCGAATTCACGATCATCACCCGCTGGTGCAACGAGGAATCCCCAGCTCGTAGTCCACGTAATCTACCCAGCACCTTGCCCCGTACCACCACCGAATTAACATCCCTGCTTGCCTGTTTTTCCGCTAAATATGTAATCCCACAAATCCTAATCCTATCCACACATGTCCATCCAAACCCCTTACCCATTCTCCCTCCCACCCAGCTCCCCACCTCTAGCAACATCGACTTACACCTGTTAACCCTCATACCTGTTGTGACCCCAAACTTTTCGATGACCTCGTCTTGCCCGATGTCTTGCCAGTGCACATCCCAAAAATCGCCTCAGCTACCTCCTCCTCACGTATATCCTCCTCCAACCTTTCACTAAGTTTCGTCCCTAGGACATTACGACCCTCCCCCGCCAAATCGTGCGAATCTATACCCACCCGTCCCCTCCATTTTTCCCGAAACTAAGCATCAATGTAAGAGCTCGTGCTTTCTGTTGTGGCGAAAACCGTACCATCCTGGTATCCCCCACCCCGGAGCTTGCCACTAATCGCAACATGGTAGTCACAGCACGACGCTCGGAACTTCCTTAACACAAAACCAGACGGCTTGTTGCCCCACAGCACGTCCTCCAATCCTGAACGATAACGTATTCCATTAAACCGTTCGTTGCGGATGTCCGCTAATTTATCCCTTATAGATTCTGCCTCACCCCTCCCCCACATCCCCTGTCGTAGCAATCTTTCAGCTGTGATTCCAAATAATTTTGTAAGCCGTAACGACACCTCGCTTCCTCCCTCCCCCTGCCTTGGAAACAGGTCGCAATACAAGGCTTTGCTTTCGTCTCCCACCAGTCAACGAGCTGCAGTACTCTATCCCTACCCTCAGTGATCCTACCCCACCATTGTTCGAACGCTACACCCCCTACGTTCAACTTCCAATAACCAGCATGAACTCTGACCATTCCCACTGCAAGTCAGCTATTACCCCTCTGTGATCTGAGAAACCTACATCAACCGTTTGCACGTCCCGTACCTCTATACCCCGCATTACGTGAATCCTGTCTAGTCGCGCAGCATATTCTCGCCTGACAAAAGTATGCTCAGGCGCTAAAAGACCCCCCCCCACTACGTCCACAACACCAACATCTTGAAATGTGTCCCGCAGAACCTTCAGTACACACCCTGCCCCCCTTGGTTCCAAGTCCCTTTCACGAATCACACAGTTCCAATCCCCGCCGATGATCGTGACTGCCGGCAAAGCCCATAAAAATACAACAAGTCCTCCCTCACAAAATCTGCTTTAACCCTTACGTTACCCGATGCCAGCATATACACACCTATAAGACAAACACGCCTCTCACCCCAGACCCCATCTACTCTCACTACCCTCCCCCCCAACCCGTGACGCGCAAGGGGCTGGTGTCCTTGATGACTATCGCAACTCCCCCTTTTAACTGCCTGGCAGAACTAACAAACATTTTATAACCCTCCAACCTCAAATCACATCCATACCAAAAATTATGTTCCTGTATAAAACACACATCAATCTGGTACCTTTGCAAAAACCAAACCAGCCACACTCGCTTGATCTCCGACCAGAGACCATTCACGTTAAGAGTAACACTCGTGAAAGCTATACAAGTGGCGGCTTTCCTCTATGCGGCTGTGGTTTACTCATGGCGACTTTCCCCGTACGGCGTCCAGGCACCTCACAGGTCTTTACCTGATCACCGTCACTCTCCCGTGCCCGTCTACTGCGTAGCTCTTGCATCATTGGGCCAGCCCGTACCTCCTTCAACTCCTCTGCTGCCCACGCCTTTTTCCCTGGGTGCTGGCCTGGCGTGAGAACCTCCTCTACCTCCGCCGTTCCAGCCGGTCTCTTTCTGGAGCCGCCACTGACACACATATCCACGTCCTGGCCTTGCTCCTGATGAACGTCCACTTACACCAACTGCTGCAAGGCACCTGCACTGGGGTTCCCTCCCCAGGCGATGGGACTGTCGTGACTTCCTCACCTTCACTGAAGACACCAGTCACAGTCATTCCCAAAAACTGGAGTACCTCGTCCATGAAGCACTCCTGGGGTGCGCTATCCTGACATCCTTGCTCACCTAGCAATTCGTCCACATCCTCTGAATGCTCAGGGAGCGTTACACACCTGTCAGCCGACTGTTCCTCACGGTCTACCTCCTCACTCCAACGACCACTCTGCAAGTCAGCTCCGCCATCCCTCTCGGGCCCCAAATCACACACTCTTTGCTCCACTGCCGGCGCTTCCGGCCCACTGGACGATTGTCGCCTGGGACACTGTGCCGCCATATGATCATAAGAGCAACAGAGGCAACACATCCGCCCCTGACCAGCGTAATGCACAAAAACTTGCGTTCTGTGTCCCACCAACGTTACGTATGACGGGATCGGCCTTGCCAACGACATCTTGAGGGTATAGGATCCCTCAGGGAGTCCCTCATACGGCCCATACTTCCAGACTCCCATCGTCGCCGAATGCACCCGTCCATAGATGCTAAAAGCCTCCTTCAGCCAATACACAGTTGCCTCAAAAGGCACATTACGCACCTTAACCCATGTGTAATATTTGGATACATCGTGCATGATGACGTCCTCTTTTCCTGGAATTCTTCAACAAGCCTGTCATACAAACTGGCTCGATTCAGTTTGATGAAGATCCTTGACAATCCATTCAGCGCCACACCGTATAATTCTTCTGTTGGTACACCGTAGACGTCTCTGATGATATTTGGCAATAAAACGTTCATTGTTGCAGTACTAAAGCGTGCCTCTGACCAGTTCTATGCAAACGGTATTCACACGGCATACTCCTCCCTCCGCCATTTTGTCAATGCACTGCCAAAGAAAACCACCAGAGGGCAGGTGTAGCAGTCAAAACGAGCGTCCTCTCACACCAGTGGTTGAGATTATTATTATAATCAAGGGGGAAGCGCTAAACCCGGAGGATTATACAGCGCCTGGGGGGGGATGTGGAAGGTATTCAGGCTTAATTCGGGGAAGTGGAGCACAGATCCAATTCCCTAAATCAAGAGCCCCTCACCAACATCAAGGAACCTTCCTTGAGGGGCAGTGGTTGAGAGGCGAATGAATTGTTAAGTTATACCATGAATTAAGGTAAGATCTTAGACTTCACCTGACGAAACAAAGAAATGCTATAGTAATTATGGACAAGGTAGATTATAGTGGAAAAATGAACATGTTATTAGAAGACGGGGAACTTACGTGTTCCTTAACCTTACGCTCTGTTAGAGATAAATAACAAAAAAAAGGCACAATACCGTGACTGGAACGATACACAAATAACCCGCACATAAAAGAGAGAAGCTTACGACGACGTTTCGGTCCGAATTGGACCATGACAAAGTCACAGTGTGACTTTGTCAATGGTCCAAGTCGGACCGAAACGTCGTCGTAAGCTTCTCTCTTTTATGCTCTGTTAGAGCTTCATAAAAGCTCTAAAGATAAGAGCTCTTAACATAAGAGCGAAATATTTTAATGTAAGCCTTGATCTGTACCGTTTGTCTTTCTTCAGTGTTGTTCAGCAATGTGTCGTTGGAAATCATAATAAGTCTTTTAATATTAAGAGTAGAGTACATATTACCACTTCAGTTGCAGACTTAAAATTTGTACAGTACCTTGTATACCTTGTTGTCGAAGTTCGTTTTGTTAGTATATATACCTTTCTGCCAGTGTGACACTTGGGTATAAAAATGCCCAACTGTTGCCTGTGTGTCTCACCCATAAACTTGTCGGCATTTCATACCATTTTCAACACACCTATCTACCTATATAGGCACACACACACACACACACAGATGAATCACAGGGATGTTAGGAAGTATTTCTTCAGCCACAGAGTAGTCAGTAAGTGGAATAGTTTGGGAAGCGATGTAGTGGAGGCAGGATCCATACATAGCTTTAAGCAGAGGTATGATAAAGCTCACGGCTCAGGGAGAGTGACCTAGTAGCGATCAGTGAAGAGGCGGGGCCAGGAGCTCGGACTCGACCCCCGCAACCTCAACTAGGTGAGTACAACTAGGTGAGTACACACACACACACACACACACACACACACACACGTCTTCAGTGTTATGCTTTTCCCCAGATGGGAGACAAGGTAGACTCAAGAAGCACTCGTGAAGAGAGTAGCAGTTCGTGTATCCAGAAAGACGACTTCCTTGCTGCTGCAGGGGAAGACGGAAGGATGACTGCCGCCATCCTACAGAATATCCTCAATTTCCTCTTCTCGGGTAAATAAAATAAAACGGGACTTTTAAAATATCACAAAAACCAAACAGTATAGTTTACTTTCGTAGGATGCAACCTACAGTACCCAAATAACACCTATTTATCTACTTAATTAGCATAACATAGGTACCTAGGCCAGCGTGTATCTAACCCAGATCCTTTTGGCTTTGATTTGAATGCTCAGGCACTGAGCTAAATTATTAAAGCCGGAAACAAGTACTAAACTAGTATTAGTCATAAGAAACATAAGAACATAAGAAAGAAGGAACACTGCAACAGGCCTACTGACCCACGCGGAGCAGGTCCATGTCCCCCCCGGATTAGACCAATGACCCACCCCCCGGATTATCCCAATGACCCACCCAGTCTGGTCATCCCCACTCAAGGATGGAGCACTGTACCAGACCCAGCAGCAAAGCTAGTCAGGTCCAACTCACACCCACTCATGTGTTTATCTAACCTATTTTTAAAACTACACAACGTTTTAGCCTCAATAACTGTACTCGGGAGCTTGTTCCACTCATCCACAACTTTATTACCAAACCAGTGCTTTCCTATATCCTTCCTGAATCTGAATTTTTCCAGCTTGAAACCATTGCTGCGAGTCCTGTCTTGGCTGGAAATTTCCAGCACACTATTTACATCCCCTTTATTTATTTCTGTTTTCCATTTATACACCTCGATCATATCTCCCCTAATTCTACGCCTTTCGAGAGAGTACAGATTCAGGGCCCTCAGTCTATCCTTATAGGGAAGATTTCTGATACATGGGATCATCTTTGTCATCCTCCTTTGTACGTTTTCCAGAGCATTTATATCCATTCTGTAATACGGTGATCAGAACTGAGAGCATAGTCTAAATGAGGCCTAACCAAGGATATATAGAGTTGAACAACCTGAGGACTTCTATTATTTATACTTCTAGATATGAAGCCAAGAATTCTGTTAGCTTTATTGCGAACACTAATGCACTGTTGTCTTGGTTTTAGATTACTGCTAACAAGAACTCCCAAATCCTTTTCGCAATCGGTAGTATTAAGATCTACATTATTTAGTTTATATGTGGCATGGTTATTTAACTGTCCAACATTTAGAACTTTGCATTTGTCAATATTAAACTGCATCTGTCACTTCTCCGACCATTGCGTCAGTCTATTCAAATCATCCTGGAGTGCTCTAATGTCCTCATTAGAATGAATTGGACGACCTATTTTGGTGTCATCAGCAAATTTGCTTATGTCGCTATTTATTCCCTCATCTATGTCGTTTATGTAAATTGTGAACAACAACGGGCTCAACACTGACCCCTGAGGAACACCGCATGTGACGTGCCCCCATTCTGATTTCTCCCCATTTATGCAAACTCTCTGCTGTCTATTTGTCAGCCATGCCTCTACCCAGGAAAAAAATTCTCCTCCTATTCCGTGTGCCCTAAGTTTCCTCAATAGCCTCTGGTGTGGAACTCTATCGAAAGTCTTACTGAAGTCCATATACACAATATCATATTCATTACCATGATCTACCTCCTCAAACACCTTAGTGAAAAAAGCTAGTAAATTCGTAAGACAGGAACGCCCCTTTGTAAAACCGTGTTGAGAATCATTAATCAATCTGTGCCTGTCAAGATGGCTACGAATTGCTTCGGCAATTATTGATTCCATAAATTTTCCCACTATGGAGGTAAGGCTTATTGGTCTATAGTTCGAAGCCAAGGACCTGTCACCTGCCTTGTAAATAGGTATTACATTTGCCATTTTCCACTTATCCTTCACTATGCCAGTTTGTAGTGATATGTTAAAAAGATTAGCCAAAGGTATGCTAAGTTCCTCTTTACATTCCTTTAAGACCCTTGCAAACAGTTCATCAGGACCTGGGAATTTGTTAGGTTTTAGTTTCTCTATTTGTCTGAGGACCATGTCACTAGTTACCGCTATCGTACATAGTTTTATTATCATCCTGTTCTACGTAATCTATTATTTCAGGAATATCGCTAGTATTTTCCTGGGTGAAAGCTGGGTGAAAATGGAATAAGAAAAGCAAAAAGGGATTATGAGGCTAAGGTCGCAAGGGATTCAAAGACTAACCCAAAAGGGTACTTTCAGGTATACAGAAGTAAGATTAGGGACAAGATTGGCCCACTTAAGAGTAACTCTGGTCAGATCACTGACAGTGATAAGGATATATGTGAAATACTAAATACCTGTAGGTATTTAGTATTTCACACATATCCTTATCACTGTCAGTGATATGACCAGAGTTACTCTTAAGTGGGCCAATCTTGTCCCTAATCTTACTTCTGTATACCTGAAAGTACCCTTTTGGGTTAGTCTTTGAATCCCTTGCGACCTTAGCCTCATAATCCCTTTTTGCTTTTCTTATTCCATTTTTTATTTCTCTCTTTAATTGAATATATTGATTTCTTAACTGCCCATCCCCTTTTTTGATACGCCTATATATGCCTCTCTTTTGACCAATGAGATGTTTTAATCTATTGTTCAACCATTTGGGATCATTTTTGTTAGATCTAATTTCCCTACTCGGAACAAAAGTTGTCTGGGCAGCTAGAACTATGCTCTGAAAAACGTCATATTGGCAACCAAGATCACCTACCTGACACCACAGATTATATTAGTATGTTTCCGAGACTGAGTTAGGACAACATTAACATCATAATACGTGCGGTAGATTAATTTCTGCTGACAGGTCAACAGGGAAAAGAATTTCGGCGACGAAGGCACTGAGAGTGAACGTTTCAGGGCTTAGAATATGCCGAAAGTGTATTATGTATGGTCTTGAACAGGTAAGACAGTGTTAATAAATGTTAGAGGTATGATGAGAGTCCTCGTTGAGAGGCTAGACTAAGCTCTTGTGTGGCATCAGTGTGTGTTCGATTACCTCGATGTCTGTTTTCCCATACCTGACAGCGACGGACTGAACGTGACCTGGTGCCCAGTTGCGGGATGATAGAAAAAAAGATTGTCTTCGAACTCAGACCCACCCACTTAGCTAACAGGTACTCAGTCACCCAGCGGCGGCGCTGCAGGGACACAGGTTAAACACAAGTCCCTCCCAGAGTTCATCAGGTGAAAGGGAAAGGATTGCTCCCGTTGGAATTTATTTTACTTTATTAAATGGGAAGCACTAAACCCGGAAAGGTCAAATAGCTCCTTGGGAATGAAAGAGGTAGTTTGATCAAAGAAAGGATAACTCAGATTCCTTTAATCAATAACCCCTTGACCAGCATTAAGGCGTTATTCCCCTTGAAGGATATTTCCTCGTTAAATAAATGCTGAATTAAGGGTGGTTATTCAGTACACAGAAGCTAATTTTGTTAAGCTATGAACACATGACAGACATTTTAAAAAGTTATATTAACCGCAACACGTTATTGTATGACCCATATTAATTTAATTCTTCCTCTTTAATGTAATCACACGATAATTTTTATATACTGAGTTGTTGATCAGTGGAATTAATTAAAAGAGGGTTCGTTAAGTGCTGCAACCAATGGAAATTAAGGAAATAATTCTAACTATTTCTGTAGCTACACATGACAAATAAGTATCTACAAACAACCGGTATTTTGTTATGATGTTTCCTTCTACAGGAGAGGTGAGTTAATTGTATTTCCTTCTACAGGAGAGTTGGAGTTCTCGCTGGACCTCACTCGCAGCCTCCTGGCCATGATGGACCGCAATTTCTCAGGCAACGTCGATTTTTATGAGTTTGATACCTTGGTGTGTTGTCTCAGGCGATGGATGGTAAGCCAGTTTAAGCACACTTGAGCTCATTGTTTGAAATGTTAAGTCTGAATTATAACTCTTGTACGCCGTGAAATAATCTTAAATAATTAATAATTATTAAATAATTACTAAAGCTAAGTTATTATTATATTCACGTAGAAGCGATAAACTCGCACGAGTCACGCAAGGTTTTAAATGTTACCCCAAATCCTTGAAAATTATTCCGAGTCACTCCATTATTAATGGGGAAACACTAAACCCATTATGATTCATTTACTGGATTATTATAATCAAAAAGAAGCGCTAAACCCACTAGGGTCTGCATTTATTGGAGAGAGGAGCGCTAAGTTCGTAGGGGTATTAAAGTATAAATGGGCTACAAATTTTAGCTACTGACATGGAAGTGGCACTCTCATTATTATTGATGTTTTATACTTTACGAATATTATTATCAAGAGTCCAGGTAGCTAAGTTCTTGTGATGAATTGACCTTTACGAAGTTCGATCACCAACAGCCTGGCAGGTCAGACAGCAAACCTTGATCAGCAGACCGAGGATCGAGCCTCCACCACTCTCTGCACTAAATGACGCATACGGGTTTAGCACGTGAAGGATCTCCAAAATAGGGATTTAAGGCCTACGTACAACGACTCCGTCATCAGCAGCTGGCAACCTGTCACCGCACCATTGAGCGCAAGTTTATTCGCCTATTTGTGGTTTGCATGTTGACGGCCCTGGCTGGCCTTGCATACTGTTTGATACTGGTCACTCACTCCTGCAAGCTATTACCAGAATTAGAATAGAAATAGCATAGACATAGTGAATATAGTGTTGACGAGTGTGAGAAGGTAGGTGGGACAAGCTTTTAAGGGCAACATTGTAAGACCGTGCGAGGGTCGGTCAAGTCTCAGGAGGGTTGTGTCAGGTTACAAGAAGTTGCGGCCAGTCATTACACCGCACAAGACACTCACACACACACACTAACACACACACACATGCACACACGCACACAGGCAGTGTTACTACTGGTAGTTATTAGCAGTAAGAATACTTAGGAATCTAGGAAGTCCTCTCTCAATGTGAACAAGGAAAATGATAATAACCAGCAACAATTAATACGTAAATCTAGAAAGGGCAATAAGTGGAGAGAGTAGCATAATTGGGAAAGATAAATGAGACTAAATTTGTGCCTACACGACGGATCTTTCAACCACACCACATACCCCCCTTACCCTCCCTCCCTCACACACAAGCACACACACACAAGGGTAGACACTCACACACACCACACACACACACACACACACACACACACACACATACACACACACATACCACACACATACACACACACATACACACACACACACATACATAAACACATACACACACACATACATAAACACATACACACACACACACACAAACACACACACACACACACACACATATATACACACACACACCACACACACACCACACACACCACACACCACACACACACACCACGCAACACACACACACCAACACACACACCACACACACACACCACACACACCACACACACACCACACACACACACACACCACACACACACACCACACACACACACACCACACACACACACACCACACATACACACCCCACACACACACAACACACACACACACACACACACACACACACACACACACACACACAACACACACACACACACACATACACACACACACACACCACACACACACCCACACACACCCTCCACCACTTGACACAAACACTTGACACCAAACATGTACCCCCCCTCCCCTAACCACCCCTCCCCCCCTTCCCTAACCACCTCACCTAGCCACCTACCCTTCCCCAAACCACCTAACCCCCTCCCCAAACCGTCTAAACCCCCCCAACTACCTCCCTCCCTGCAATAACCATCCTCCCCCTCCCCTATAACCATCCATCCCCTCTCTCCCTCAACCATCTAACCCCCTCCCCCAACTATCTCTACCCCTCCAATAACCATCCTCCCCTCCCCCACAACCATCCATCCCCTCTCCTCCTAACCATCTATTCCCCTCCCCCTAACCACCCGTCCCCCCTTCTGTGGAGCAATGGGGGAACCTAGAACCAGGATGAGGACAAGGGGCTCCAAGGACGAATCTGGGAGGGAGGAATGGGAGGTAGAGCTCAAAAAAAGGGAGGAAGACTGGGGAAGGAGACTAGATGACGCTGGAAAGGAAGATGGAAAGAGAGGTTAGCAGCAGAATGCAGAAGGTGGAAGCAACAGGTCACAGCAGCAGAAATTAAGATAGAGAGATTAGAAGAGGAGCTGAGACATCTGAAACAGCACAAGACAAAGATATTACAGAAGTAGCATCGGCAATGGCTACATCAAACACAGACAACAGGTCTGAAGGAAGCATGGAAACTAAACTGTATGCAGAGGTCCTGTCAAACCCATATGGGGCCAAAACAAAGGCAGGGAGCACACTAGGACAGAATGAGAGGTTGGAAGACATTGAAGGAACTAGGACATGTGCAAGGACCTTACCAGATACCTGTGGGGGCCAGGAACAGGTGAGCAGGAAGGACAAACCAAGAAGCATAGGGGCCATAACTAGGGAAGGGACTGAAGGAAGGAACACTCCACGGGAAGAAACTAAAACACATCAGAGGATGCAATGGGAGTCACAGTTGGAGGTGGAAAGGGAGAGATCCGTGTTTGTCTATGGGCTAGACGAAGCTAAAGGGGAAACTTATGATGAAAGAAAGCAGGAGGAGAAAAAAGCAATTGAAGATATCATGAAGGTGATAGGCGAAGGGGGACATGACCAGGTGGCAATTTTCGGAGAATTGGGTGGTTCACAAAGAAAAGGAATCGGCCTCTCAAAGTAATTTTCAAGGCAGAATCAACCCGAACCATGATCCCTGCAGGAGAAAAGCACGGCTGAGAGGCAAGCAGGAGTTCCGGAGTGTGTACCTCGATCGAGACAGAACACAGGACGAAAGGAAGACGATGAAAGAGAGAGTTCAAAAACAAAAGGAGAAATGGGAGGAAATTAAAGAAGGAGAGCAGAATAACCCAGGATCAAATGGAAGGACAAGCACACCCCCCAGAAACACCTGCAGAAGGACTCCAGCCACGACACCCCCAAGGCAACTGAACAATCCAAACCAACCATCACACACCGATCCCTCTGTTTCCACCCCCTGCACCACAGTTACAGTATTAGAACAGAAGTTGAAGGTTTGGTACATAAATGCAGATGGATTAACGAATAAACATGAGGAATGGCAAGAAAGAATCAATGAGAAGTCCCAGACATCATAGCAGTTTACAGAAACAAAACTCACGGAGACAATAACAGATGCAATCTTTCCACCAGGATACCAGATCATGAGGAAAGATAGAAGGGGCAGGGGGGGAGGTGGGGTTGCTCTGCTCGTAAAAAACAGATGGAAATTCGAGAAAATAGAAGGCATAGATGAGACGGGAGAAAGAGACTACATAGCAGGTACACTTCAGTCTGGGGAACACAAAGTGGTCATTGCAGTGATGTATAATCCACCACAGAACTGCAGGAGGCCAAGAGAGGAATATGAAGAGAGCAACAGAGCAATGGTGGACACACTTGCTGAGGTGGCAAGAAGAGCTCATTCCAGCAGAGCAAAGTTGCTGGTTATGGGGGATTTCAACCACAGGGAGATCTCCCCATGGGTCCTTAGAGAAGGAGCAGAGATGCTGTGCGTGCCTCTAACCACAATCTTCAACACATCCCTTGAAACTGGGCAACTACCTGAGAAATGGAAGAGCTAATGTAGTCCCCATATTTAAGAAAGGAAACAGAAACGAGGCACTAAACCACAGACCTGTGTCTCTGACATGTATTGTGTGCAAAGTCATGGAGAAGATTATCAGGAGGAGAGTGGTCGAACACCTGGAAAGGAACAAGATTATAAATGAAAACCAGCATGGGTTCATGGAAGGCAAATCCTGTATCACAAACCTCCTGGAGTTTTATGACAAGGTAACAGAAGTAAGACACGAGAGAGAGGAGTGGGTAGATTGCGTTTTCCTAGACTGCAGGAAGGCCTTTGACACAGTTCCCCACAAGAGATTAGTGCAGAAGCTGGAGGATTAGGCGCATGTAAAAGGGAGGGCACTCCCAATGGATCAGGGAATACCTGACGGGGGGCAGCAACGAGTCATGGTACGTGAAGAGTAATCACAGTGGCGCCTGTTACGAGTGGGGTCCCACAGGGGTCAGTTCTAGGACCAGTGCTATTTTTGATATATGTGAACGACATGATGGAAGGGAATAGACTCTGAAGTGTCCCTGTTCGCAGATGATGTGAAGTTGATGAGAAAAATTTAAAATCGGACGAGGATGAGGCAGGACTGAAAAGAGACCCGGACAGGCTGGACTTGTGGTCCAGTAACGGGCTTCACGAATTCAATCCAGCCAAATGCAAAGTCATGAAGATTGGGAGGGGCAAAAAGACCGCAGACAGAGTATAGGCTAGGTGGACAAAGACACAGCCCTCACTCAGGGAGAAAGCCTTGGGGGTGCCCATAACCCCGAGCACATCCCCGGAGGCACAATCAACCAAATAACTGCTGCAGCATACGGGCACTTGGCAAACCTGAGAATAGCGTTCCGATACCTTAATAAGGAAGGTTCAAGACACTGTACACTGTGTATGTTAGGCCCATACTGGAGTATGCAGCACCAGTCTGGAACTACACCTGGTCAAGCACGTCAAGAATTTTGAGAAAGTACAAGGTTTGCAACAAGGCTAGTCCCAGAGCTCAAGGGAAGTCGTACGAGGAAAGGTTAAGGGAAATCGGACTGACGACACTGGAGGACAGAAGGTCAGGGGAGACATGATAACGAACATACAAGATACTGCGGGGAATAGCCCAAGGTGGACAGAGATAGGATGTTCCAGAGGGGGGACACAGGGACAAGGGGCCACAACTGGAAGCTGAAGACTCAGACGAGTCACAGGGACGTTAGGAAGTATTTATTCAGTCATAGAGTTGTCAGCAAGTGGAATAGCCTAGCAAGTGAAGTAGTGGAGGCAGGAACCATACATAGTTTTAAGAAGAGGTATGACAAAGCTCAGGAAGCAGAGAGAGAGAGGACCCAGTAGCGATCAGTGAAGAGGCGGGGCCAGGAGCTGATTCTCGACCCCTGCAACCACAATTAGGTGAGTACAATTAGGTGAGTACAGGGAACTGTTGCCAATTCACCATGCAACTTGGTCCCCCCCAGGCTGTGTACAAGAGGAAGAGCGAGGCTGAGACTGGCCTGATATCAGGGAGTGTCTGGGGTCTGGGAGATGCTCTCAGGGAGCTGGGTTACCTGCTGCCCCGCCGCCTGCAGGCTCTTCTGGTAGTTAGGTTTGGCGACCAAGAAGGCAACATCTCCCTCAGGGACTTCATTATGGCCACCTGCAGAATATCCGTCATGCTGGGTGAGTGGTTTTTACCCCCTCTCTTTCCCCCCCCCCTCCCGACATGTGTGTTTTGCATTATCTCTCATTATTGTATGTATTCATTTTAAAGAGCACTAAACCCGCAAGGGTTACTCATATTAAAAAATCATGTGTTAAACTCGAATGGGTCGTACAATGTAGGGGTCATACAGCGCCTTATGGAAGAGAAAGCACTTAGATTAGAAACACTGAAGCGGAAATCAGGCTCAATTCCTTTAATGAAGATCCCTTGAAGAATAGTGTATATATGATTTATGGTATAAAACAAATTTTTTAGTATTATAATATATATATATAATATATATATATATATATATATATATTATATATATATATATACATATATATATATTTTATTATATACTATATATATAGAGGTAGTAGGTTGGTAGACAGCAACCACCAGGGAGGTACTACCGTCCTGCCCAAATGAGTGTAAAACGAAAGCCTGTAATTGTTTTACATGATGGTAGGATTGCTGGTGTCTTTTGTCTCTCTCATAAATATGCAAGATTACAGGCATGTCTTGCTACTTCTTTGATTTTATCTTAATAGTTCTTGGTCTTATTACTTTTCCTTTTATATCCATAGGGAAGTGGAATAAGAATCTTTCCTTCGTAAGCCATGCGTGTTGTAAAAGTCAATTAAAATGCCGGGAACAATGGGCTAGTAACCCCTTTTCCTGTAAAGATTACTAAAAAGAATAAGAAGAAGAAAACTGTCATGTGCGTGGATGTTGTGCAAATGATAAGAAAGAGATGATTGTGGATGTTATGAATGAGAAGAAACTGGATGTCCTGGCTTCAAGTGAAACAAAGCTGAAGGGGGTGGGAGAGTTTCAATGGAGAGGAATAAATGGGATTAGGTCAGGGGTTTCAAATAGAGTTAGAGCTAAAGAAGGAGTAGCAATAATGTTGAATGATAAGCTATGGCAGGAAAAGAGGGACTACAAATGTATAAATTCAAGGATTATGTGGAGTAAAATAAAGATTGGATGTGAAAAGTGGGTTATAGTAAGCGTGTATGCACCTGGAGAAGAGAGAAGTGTAGAGGAGAGAGAGAGATTCTGGGAAATGTTGAGTGAATGCGTGGGGAGTTTTGAATCAAGTGTGAGAGTAATGGTGGTTGGGGATTTCAATGCTAAAGTGGGTAAAAATGTTATGGAGGGAGTAGTAGGTAAATTTGGGGTGCCAGGGGTAAATGGGGAGCCTTTAATTGAGCTATGTGCAGAAAGAAATTTGGTAATAAGTAATACATATTTTATGAAAAAGAGGATAAATAAATATACAAGGTATGATGTAGCACGTAATGAAAGTAGTTTGTTAGATTATGTATTGGTGGATAAAAGGTTGATGGGTAGGCTCCAGGATGTACATGTTTATAGAGGGGCAACTGATATATCAGATCATTATTTAGTTGTAGCTACAGTTAGAGTAAGAGGTAGAAGGGAAAAGAGGAAGGTGGCAACAACAAGAGGGAGGTGAAAGTGTATAAACTAAGGGAGGAGGAAGTTCGGGCGAGATATAAGCGACTATTGGCAGAAAGGTGGGCTAGTGCAAAGATGAGTAGCGGGGGGTTGAAGAGGGTTGGAATAGTTTTAAAAATGCAGTATTAGAATGTGGGGCAGAAGTTTGTGGTTATAGGAGGGTGGGGGCACGAGGAAAGAGGAGTGATTGGTGGAATGATGAAGTAAAGGGTGTGATAAAAGAGAAAAAGGTAGCTTATGAGAGGTTTTTACAAAGCAGAAGTGTTATAAGAAGAGCAGAGTATATGGAGAGTAAAAGAAAGGTGAAGAGAGTGGTGAGAGAGTGCAAAAGGAGAGCAGATGATAGAGTGGGAGAGGCACTGTCAAGAAATTTTCATAAAAATAAGAAAAAGTTTTGGAGTGAGTTAAACAAGTTAAGAAAGCCTAGGGAAAGTATGGATTTGTCAGTTAAAAACAGAGTAGGGGAGTTAGTAGATGGGGAGAGGGAGGTATTAGGTAGATGGCGAGAATATTTTGAGGAACTTTTAAATGTTGAGGAAGAAAGGGAAGCGGTAATTTCATGCACTGGCCAGGGAGGTATACCATCTTTTAGGAGTGAAGAAGAACAGGATGTAAGTGTGGTGGAGGTACGTGAGGCATTACGTAGAATGAAAGGGGGTAAAGCAGCTGGAACTGATGGGATCATGACAGAAATGTTAAAAGCAGGGGGGATATAGTGTTGGAGTGGTTGGTACTTTTGTTTAATAAATGTATGAAAGAGGGTAAGGTACCTAGGGATTGGCGGAGAGCATGTATAGTCCCTTTATATAAAGGGAAAGGGGACAAAAGAGATTGTAAAAATTATAGAGGAATAAGTTTACTGAGTATACCAGGAAAAGTATACGGTAGGGTTACAATTGAAAGAATTAGAGGTAAGACAGAATGTAGGATTGCGGATGAGCAAGGTTTTAGAGTGGGTAGGGGATGTGTAGATCAAGTGTTTACATTGAAACATATATGTGAACAGTATTTAGATAAAGGTAGGGAAGTTTTTATTGCATTTATGGATTTAGAAAAGGCATATGATAGAGTGGATAGAGGAGCAATGTGGCAGATGTTGCAAGTATATGGAATAGGTGGTAAGTTACTAAATGCTGTAAAGAGCTTTTATGAGGATAGTGAGGCTGAGGTTAGGGTGTGTAGCAGAGAGGGAGAATACTTCCCGGTAAAAATAGGTCTTAGACAGGGATGTGTAATGTCACCATGGTTGTTTAATATATTTATAGATGGGGTTGTAAAAGAAGTAAATGCTAGGGTGTTCGGGAGAGGGGTGGGATTAAATTATGGGGAATCAAATTCAAAATGGGAATTGACACAGTTACTTTTTGCTGATGATACTGTGCTTATGGGAGATTCTAAAGAAAAATTGCAAAGCTTAGTGGATGAATTTGAGAATGTGTGTAAAGGTAGAAAGTTGAAAGTGAACATAGAAAAGAGTAAGGTGATGAGGGTATCAAATGATTTAGATAAAGAAAAATTGGATATCAAATTGGGGAGGAGTATGGAAGAAGTGAATGTTTTCAGATACTTGGGAGTTGACGTGTCGGCGGATGGATTTATGAAGGATGAGGTTAATCATATAATTGATGAGGGAAAAAAGGTGAGTGGTGCGTTGAGGTATATGTGGAGTCAAAAAACGTTATCTATGGAGGCAAAGAAGGGAATGTATGAAAGTATAGTAGTACCAACACTCTTATACGGATGTGAAGCTTGGGTAGTAAATGCAGCAGCGAAGAAACGGTTGGAGGCAGTGGAGATGTCCTGTCTAAGGGCAATGTGTGGTGTAAATATTATGCAGAAAATTCAGAGTGTGGAAATTAGGAGAAGGTGTGGAGTTAATATAAGCATTAGTCAGAGGGCAGAAGAGGGGTTGTTGAGGTGGTTTGGTCATTTAGAGAGAATGGATCAAAGTAGAATGGCATGGAAAGCATACAAATCTATAGGGAAGGAAGGAGAGGTAGGGGTCGTCCTCGAAAGGTTTTGTGGGCGAGGGGCTTGGACTTCCAGCAAGCGTGCATGAGCGTGTTAGATAGGAGTGAATGGAGACGAATGCTACTTGGGACCTGACGATCTGTTGGAGTGTGAGCAGAGTAATATTTAGTGAAGGGATTCAGGGAAACCGGCTATTTTCATATAGTCGGACTTGAGTCCTGGAAATGGGAAGTACAATGCCTGCACTTTAAAGGAGGGGTTTGGGATATTGGCAGTTTGGAGGGATATGTTGTGTATCTTTATACGTATATGCTTCTAAACTGTTGTATTCTGAGCACCTCTGCAAAAGCAGTGATAATGTGTGAGTGTGGTGAAAGTGTTGAATGATGATGAAAGTGTTTTCTTTTTGGGGATTTTCTTTCTTTTTTGGGTCACCCTGCCTCGGTGGGAGACGGCCGACTTGTTAAAATAAATATATATATATAATATATATATATATATATATATATATATATATATATATATATATATATATATATATATATATTATATATATTATATATATAATTAATGAACTAATATTTTGTTCCAGATCGATTTCAAAAACACTGTAGTGATGGAATGGATACTGCTGCAATATGCCTCTCCGAGTGGCTTCAAGATGCACTCTACTGCTGAAACTCAGTCATCGCTAACAATAGTGCTGGCGCATATATTTTGCTGATGTACTACTAATAGCGCACATTACTGCTTGCTGACGTTACTGGTAGGTATGTTTGTCAGGGAAACAGGACAAGTGTTTCCTGACGCGGGTCTTAGTCATACGATGACCCACAGTTGGAGTTTTTGGTCATCTGACTGAGGATTTCCGCTGGCCTACCTGTCCACCTCTTTAAAAATCATGGCTATAATTATAACCACTATTCTCATGTTGCTGCTGACGCATGTTACTGTTGATGCATGTTACTGTTGACGCACGCTACCGCGGTCACGACTGCAAGCGCACTGCGTATGTTACTGCTGACAATACTACTGAAAAACGCTACTGCTCTGGAAAGTTACTGCTAACAACGATACCAAAAGAAACTAGAAAATATTTCTAGTTTTAGACAACTGGAACAGGATCTACAAGCCAATATAAAACAAACACTTAAGCCAAATTTTAAGTCGGTGGGAGAATTGGACTTGCCTCGCATGGGCCAGTAGGCCTGCTGCAGTGTACCATCTTCCTATGTTCTTTTGTTCTTAAATTTTAAGGAAAAAAAAATAGACGAAGGCCACAGATACGACGTCGCTCTTTAATCTTCATGATTGTGCATGTTAAGTTTGAAGACTACTGGCCGCAGGAAGGTCAATATCGCCTACAAACCATCTCAAGAATACTTTAATATCCAAAATATGGATAAAAATATTTTACCTCTAAATACGTCTGCGTGTACACACACACACACACACACACACACACAAAATTGTGAAATGCAGTGATAAACCCAGTATTAAAAAAAAAAACTAAAACTTCGCATCCGCCATCATTATGACTGGTATCATTACCTGGACTCATTTAGATGCTAACATATCTAGTGGAAACAAGTCATGCTGTTTAATTTAGATTATCCTCTTCACATATGCTATGTATGTACACCAACATGTATGTAGAATTTCCGTAGACTGACTCCCACTGCCTCGAACTGCAGTTTGGGTCTTCATTTGCACAAAATTCAGAAAAGGAATCTAACTATATTGCTATTATTTTTAACACTGGATCAAGAGCCCCTCTCCAGCATCAATGAAGGGAGCTGCAACATGAAGAGGCCAGTCCCGGGCTGGCCTGGCTGTGAACCAGCCTGGCTAGCGAAGATTTACACCTATTCGATGTATACTGTACCACCCGACTATATAACCCAAAGCTATTATTAAGTATAATTATTACATGCAAAAAAGGCAGAGGCGGCTCCAGAATTTCTGCATGGGGATGTCAGGGGTGGTGGCTATGAGAGTTTTTAAACAGCGTTATTACTACGTTTTACTAAGGGGCTTCGGAAGGGAGGGAGGGAAGGGGGGTTGAGTGAATTTTGAGGGCTTCCCCCACCAACTTCGAAATAATTTTGCACCATCAAATATTTGTAAAACAGTCTGTGCACTGCTATAAATAATTGAATTAAAACTAAAGCCGAGATGGCCACACACCTCCATAACTAAAATCAATTTAAATCAACCTGTCATTAGAATGTCATTTCAAGGAAAATATTAAAATTTAAATGTTATATTCAAGTCATGAGGAATGTTAGGGATGAGAGGCAATCGCAGTATCCAAGGGGCAGGCACCTCCAAATTCCATGGCCCAAGAGCCCCTCACCAGCGCCAAGGCACCTCTCGAAGGGTTAATTTCATTGCACTGACATTCACTATGAATGTATATGTCCTTGTTACTGATAATCAAGGTCACGGATTATAACCAGAACGATTCATTGTGTAAATAAAGTGTACTTCAGCCAGGTTCTGAGGTTCATGTTTACCCAGTGTGTAGTACTGAAAGAACCATTTTCTTTCACACAGTCGAGAGAAAAAACTGGGAATAAGCAAGTCTATCGTGTAGACTAATTGTGTGTGGCTTAAAATTTTTTTTTTGTTTTTTTTTCAAAGAATTTAATTGTGGGAATTAAGTGGTGAATTTAATGACCTGTTTTAAGTTCTGTGCAAAATTAACCCTTCAAGAATGGGATGGGTGCATGTATGCTTTGTGATCTAGATCTAAGGAATTGGAGTTAACTTCCCTTCCCCCGGATCAAACATCACATAATAATCAAAAAGAAGCGCTAAACCACAAGGATTATACAGCGCTGCAGAGCAGGGAAGGATGCGAGGGTATCGGGTAGCAAGAGGGAGAGGGATGATAGTAGGTTATGGAGTACAGCGGGGCAGTGGATAGTGCAGGGGTAGAGGGTAGCAAGAGATTGAGGTAGAAAGGACTGAGGGGAGTGCTAAAGGTATAATCAGAGTTCGTGGAGTAAATTAGTTGTCAAAAAGTCAACGAGAGATTCCTGATTATAGGAGGGTCCATCAGCAAGAAGGGAAGGTAAAGAAAGCAGCAGAGCGGAGACGATGTTGGAGGTATATTCTGCGTGCTCGTTGATAGTGGACAGTCCAACAGAATGTGGGTAACAGATACTGGAACCTGACAATTCTCAGAGGAACAGGGCGCCTCTCCACGAGATACCCGTGAATAAGGAGTGTGGACAATGCGAAGACGGGAGAGAGTAGTCTCCTAACCTCGACACTGATATCAATCATCACATCTTTTGGCGCTGTACAGATCTTGCATAATTTGCTCAAGGGAGGTGTTAAGAAGGCCTGACAAGCTTTCTCCATTATGATCATACTAACCATAATTATTAACACTGAATTAGGACGCAGCTAATCTCGAATTGGTTGGTTGGTTAACAAAAAAACTGCTATAATCAAGAGGTGCTAAACCTACTACGGTTAACTGAACTTTAAACCTAATGACGCACGAGTCAAAGGTACCTTACCTATTTTCCACCAATGAAGAATACTTTAATCATTTTTTGTATTTTATTACAACATTGACCGTTTCCCACCGAGGTAGGGTGACCCAAAAAAGAAACTCCCCCTCATTCACTCCATCACTGTCTTGCCAGTGATAGTTATAAAACTGCAACATTAACACCCCTCCTTCAGAGTGCGGCAACAAGAGCATTTCACCCCTCCATGGAAGATGTGTTCATTTAATATCACATACCTACAAGTCCCTCCCAAGAAGCTCATTGCTAGTAATCCCTTCCTTAAATCTCTTGTTAGAGCAACTGCTCAAGAAATTTCTCACCTAGCTGGTAGTAATAAGTTATCACAAGTTATATACACTGATGGATCTAAACAGGAGTCTTCTGGCAGGGCTGCATCTGCTCTTGTTGCCACCTCCCTAGTTAAGAAAGATAATAAATTTGTCGAGTTAGGCATAAGAATTAACAACTGGGCGTCTACACTGCAAACTGAATTGTTTGCAATCCTAATGGCGCTAAAGCTAACCTATGACACTGAGCTTGACTATTATCATTACTGATTCTATGTCATCATTGAAGGCTCTTGGCTCATATGACACACTCCAACATGCTCATTGGGGAAGCCAGGTATAGATACTCAAAAATTAGGGACAAAGGAATTAATGTACAATTGCTATGGATCCATCACACATTGGACTACTCCTTCATGATAAAGTTGATATGTTAGCCAAGAAGAGTATCGAGAAGGAGAATGTAGAATATAACTTTGGTATAACTGTCTAGCATTAGGAATAATATTAGGAGAGAAGTAAATAATGAAAATGATTGTTATAGGAATGCAGTTAGAAGCCTGAGTAGATCTATAACCCACTATGATAACATGAACGTAGATATGTTTATGGAGCAACTTGCAATGTGAACAGACTGATGTAGTGGCCAGGCTTAGGCTTGGTTACAAGTACATCTGGCAGTTTGGGAGAGACAGATGATCAAACTATAAATGTAAATTATGTGATCAGGCATATGGTCACTCTTGAAAACACTGCTTAATTGTCCACTTTTTGAGGAATACAGAGACGGACAGTATAATAACCTATGTGACATGTCAAGATATCTTAATGAAAATAAGATACCAGATATACTAAGCATTATTACAATCAAGGGGGAAGCGCTAAACCCGGAGGATTATACAGCGCCTGGGGGGGATGTGGAAGGCATTCAGGCTTAATTCGGGGAACTGGAGCATAGATCCAATTCCCTAAATCAAGAGCCCCTCACCAACATCAAGGAACCTTCCTTGAGGGGATATACTAAGCAAATTTCCTAAATTTTCTTGTAACAGATGAGTGAACTATAGATATGTAGATATAAATCCATATGTATTCCTGTTAACCCTTTGGGGCCTAGTTCCTAGGCCTTTTGTGTATCCATATGCTCTCGCGCTATCGTCCACAGGATGGATATGGGGTGCACAATAAACTAGCCACTTCGGTGGCAAAATCTAAAAAAAAATCTAAATCTTCAGAGTGCAGACACACTACTTCCCATCTCCAGGACTAGTCCGGCCTGCCGGTTTACCTGAATCCCTTCATAAATATTACCTTGCTCACTCTTCAACAGCACGTCAAATCCTAGAAACCATTTGTCTCCATTCGCTCCTAACATGCTCATGCACGCTTGCTGGAAGTCCAAGCCCCTAGCACAAAACCTCCCTTACTCCTTCCCTCCAACTTTTCCTTGGCCGACCCCTACCCCGCCTTCCCTCCACTACAGATTTATAAAACTGGAAGTCTTTATTTTTTTCCCATCCTCTACATGTCTGAACCACCTCAATAACCCCACCTCAGCCCTCTGCATAATAGTTTTTGTAATCCCGCACCTCCTAATTTCCGACCTACGAATTGTCTGCAATATAGTCACACCACCCATTGCCCTCACACTATCTCCACCGCCTCCAGTCTTGTAACATTCACCACCCATGCTTCACACCCATATAAGAGCGTTAGTGTAACTACTCCCATACATTATCCTCTTTGCTTCCATGGACAAAGTTTTGTCTTCAGACTCCTCAGTGCACCACTTACCTTTTTCCCCTCGCCAATTCTATGATTCGCCTCATCTTTCATAAACCCATCTGCTGACACGTCCACTTAAATATCTGAATTCATTCGCCTCCATACTCTCACACTACTCACTCATCTGATATCCAATCTTTCGTTACCTAACATTTTTATCCTCACCACCTTACTCTTTCCTATATTGACTTTCATACCCTACTACTCATTCCCCAACCTCTGCGCAATTGCTTGTGGTTTCTCATACCAAAAAGAAGGGCAACTGAAACCCAGGTGAAGGGTTATTGAAGACTTCTAAATCTGACTTAGCGCTCTTTCTGCTCTGGGAGTCTAACCTTGCACGAAAGTGGACACTGTTGCAGTGTATGGCAACTGGATATAGCACATGACAATATGTAAATGTACGATTACTTTGTCTGGACCGTAGTATGCTACTCCAACTGGATTAAAAGCAGTGGGGAATTTGCCATAACAGGAGAGATTTCAACTTTTCCAGCTGTATAGCCCTTGTGGCTTAGCGCTTCTTTTTGATTATAATAATTAAACTTTTCCAAGAGCGTAAGAATTCAAGGGAAGAGTTTCAGGTAAAGGAAATTATCACACTGGTCTTCCCAAATTTTCCGATGGAGGAAATATGGCGTAAAGATGGGACATTCAGGAGATTATATAATTTGTACACGTCAGCGAGGTCTGTTTACAGACCTGACATGTAGAGCATTTCGGGCAAATGTATGTCCCCAGGATGCAACCCACACCAATCCTAAAACCTAGGTAATTATTTACTGCTAGGTGAACATGAACAGGCGTCTTAATGACACTAATATTTCCACCCGTACCGGGGATCGAACCACGGACTTCAATGCACGAGCCGAGTGCTCTAGTTAACCGTTAATTATAATTTGTGCTTCAATAAGCGCTAAACCGAAAAGGGTCACAGCGCTGGGCATAATGGAGAAAAAACGTCCATCTCTTCTATCATGCAAAAGGAAAGTCTGCCCGAGTATAGACACTCGGGCTTGAGAGGATTGCAAAGCCTCCTGATAGCGCCAGATTAATACAGGTTTAAAAAATACTGTAGTTGGGAGGCTGAGGATTATTACGCGTTAAGGCAGATTAGTGATAATTTTCATATTCGTCTAGTGTTAAATCTTTATGACTTGCAGTGTCCATAGTGATGTGGGGGGGGGGTTAGAGTGAGCGAAACTAGCACATCAGGTTAGTTTCCATTAAAGTCTTGGAGGAATTGGAGAGATCAGTGAATAAAATACCGCTTATGCTTACTAGCGGTAAGCGCGTAGGGATTATAAAGCCACCTGTAGGGGGGGGGGGGGAGGGGAATGGAAGGAATTCAGGCTCTGTTCAGGGAACTGGAGCACAGATCCAATTCCATATATCAGCCCCTCACCAGCGTCAAGGACTCCCTTGAAGGGATAACTACAGTTTAACACTTTGATAACATTCAACGCAAAAATTCTAATACCTACGTGTGCAGATATCTGCCTGAACGTATATAGCCCTTGTGGCTTAGCGCTTTTTTTTTTTTTTTAATTATAATAATCATGCCTGAACGAGACTACACTTCTGACTGTTTAAAATTACTAGTCAGACTGAAGACAGATCTTTAAATTCACTTCAATGCTTTTGCTTACCTAATGCTACATGTAACGCGCCAAACCCACTAGGGTCACACCACATACCCATTGCTACAGACACTTCGAAAAACGCAAGTCCTACCAACGATGCCTGTGACGCATGTACTTTCCAGGAAGGTGACTGTTTACCGAATTGTGTTGAAGGTTCAAGGATTTAATTTACAATAAAAAATATACATCAGTTCTGTTAAATAATGTTAAAGTTCATATTACTGATGCCGAGAAAAATCAGATTAACGTGCCTTCATATTTTTATTGTTACACAAGAGGATACATAACAGCTTTGAAGTTAATGCCAAGTTATAAATGAGGACGCTAACACTTGCAAGCGTGTTAGCCACAGGAAGTGTACTGCCATCTGTGGATACATTACTGGCTAGTCAAGTAGAGCGAGGGCAGCTTTCCTGTACGCCCCTGAAGTATCAGCCTGAGGAGGAGTGTAGAATGTCAGTGCTTATTCAAAACTAGACGGTAATTTATTTAGTATCAAGATTAGGGCTAGAGAGATTTAACAAATTTAGTGAACAAAATGAACACAGATAAAGTCAAACTGCAAGTGTTGAAAGTGATACAAGAGTCGACCTCCAAGACTCACCTTGACATCTTCCGCCAGACTCTTACTATACACTTTATGGTACTCTTCTTTTATATTGCCCAGATCCACCTCACAGCGAGACACTATGAGACGGATAAGATCTTCGTCTTTTGTGCCTGGGCCTGCCAAGGCTTTGTGGAAAGACTGTGCGAAAAACTCTGCTCTATTTTCCAGGCAGTCGACTGTTAAAGCAAAGGGTTTAGTAATGGTAAGTGAAAACTTTAAAAGTGGTAATGGAAAGTATCTAGAGGCAAAGAAAGTTAAAGCGGGTGGACGGTGGTGGTCCCACTTAACTAAAAATATCCCTGCTGTCTAGCCATAAATGAATCTTTATGAGGGGGGGGGGGGAAGGGAGTGGGTAAAGCTACGACAAACTTAATTAACAAGTATCTGGGCCAACTAGAGTGTTCTGAATTCAATTTGTATGCCGATGAAGATTAATGGGAAGTTTGATCTATTCCAAACTTAAGGACACCTACAGAAATACTTTGAGACTTTAAAACCTATGTGACCCATGATGCCCCCCAACATAACTATAATTCCTGCAATTATGTTATTGATTCAATCATTCACTTGCTAAATACCATTGTGTACATAATTTGGTCCTGAATGCCAGGTAGCAATTATCTATTTTATTGCCCGATTACTGAAGCAGTGATAAAGGTTTCACCTCTTAATGAAGGTGATCTACCTACACAAGGCTCTCATGTTTGTCCTGGTGCTGCCAGTGTACTGGCTGTCAAAAGTCTCTCCCAGGGTCCTGCCAGCCAGCTTGTAGTACTCTACGAAGGCGCTACGTAGCTCCTCGTACGAATAAGAGCTTAGAGCCTTCACTACCTCAGCTTCGTCAAGATCCTTACCTGAGGTGGGTAGAGCGTTTTCAGGTTAGAGAGTTTTGACCGTGTATAATTTAGCTCAAACTGAGAAAAGCTTTCGCGAATCAAATTAAATATTAATCTATAAAATTTATAATTACCAGAACTAAGAATTCCACTATTCTTCCTGTAGGGAAACACGGCACATTAAAAATGTGAAAGCTATTAAAAAAAAGGTTTCAGAAAAAATGGAAATACTGTATTAAGCATTTAGATTACCATCAACATTTATGGAATCCTCACCTGTAGAGTAATGTGATTTCCAAGTATATGTAACAAGTCACTTTAGGACTTAAAATTTACCCTCTTTTACCCCAAATTTAAGTTCTAGGTCTCCTGCACAAAAGTAAGGTTATTTCTGTTACCAGACCAAGGTTCGTTCAGCACTAAATGGCAGTTGCACTTCTAACTTAGTCAAAACTTGGAAAAGAGTGAACATTTTTATCAGTAAGATCTAGTAAAAAATGGTCTAAATTTCAGGGTCGGAAAATACGGTATTTACTAATTTGTGTAAACTTTTGCAGATCAATTTACCCCAAGTGTTGTAATTTATTACATGCATGCATGATTAATTTATAGTCTGAGAGACTACTGTAATTTTATATATTAAACCTGTGCTTATTAGGTCGTCTTTAAGGAAAAAAAAAAAATTAAAGGCCTTGCCGACATTAATACTATCATGCGTGACCTCATTCTGTCTGCTGTTAAACAGGATCAGGTCATCCAAACCTTCAGTCACCTACACCTCTTCATCCACATTAATCTTTCTGCTTTAAAAAAGTTTAACCTTTAGTTTGATTTTAAAATTTTCAATTATATAACGTATCGTAGCTCATACTCTGCACTGACCTGATATCTAACTAATCTTATCGTCGCAACAATGGAATTAAAAGCTTCCTCCAAGCCTCGCTTCCATTATATTAAGATTTTCCAAAACTTGCATCCAGTGACTAACTGCTACACTTCCTATCCGTACTTGCGGCTGAACCTCTGTTCTAGAATGAACATTTACCAATTTGTTTTTTTGTTTATACAAAACTTCACATTAACATTCACTTTCATAAACCTAGTTTATATAAGTCCAGCTATTTAAGCTTTTAATAAGTAAGCTACAAATATCCTACAAAGACATAACACGGAGTTGACAAAGATAATGCAGCTTATCAAGATAGAAACCTGCATGTGTAATATGTAGGTAGACATGATATTGGCAGATAGCAGGAACGACTAGTCAGAATTATCAACTGCGGTAATTACACCGATAACAAAATTTGAGAGCAAGCGATGCGAACCTTTGGGACTAATTTTAGTGAATTCTAGCTTGGTTTTTGGTTGCTTAAGTATTAAACTAGTAGGTACGATATACTATGTAAAGTACAGCACAGCACTCTTCAGGGGGAGAGGGAGGGAAACTAAAGTATTATCATACAAAGTTAAATATAACCAGCACGGGTTAAAAATCCCACTAGAATTCCGAGGTACGTACAAGTGGCCCAGTAATTACAAAAAGCATGAAAAGTCTTAAGCCGTGGGCAAACTTAAAAGGTGTTCACAGACTTCCATACCACAAGGTACACAAGTGAAGGATGGCGATGTGGGAAGCCCCCTTTACCCTGCAAATTGAAGCAGGAGCAACTAAATAGGTGGAGATGGGAAGAGTTGCCCGCGCCTGATCTACGCGATTAGGACTGAGGGTCAAACATTTCCTACCCTGTAACTGCTAGTCTGTAGGGTCCACTAAAAGATTCAAAACATTAGTATATAATACAGACCAATGGAAGAGGTTTATATACCACTAATGTTGGGATACTTTTCAGGCAGCAACATGGAATCTTGGTACAGAGAAAATCTCCACAACTTCTTACCCTTGCTGGTCCATCACTTTGGTGTAAACTAACACTGGGGAATACCCCCTATCAGCGACAATGCCTTCATCTAATCTAAAGTATACAAACCCCATTTCTTCCCGTCAGTGCTTCTGATTAATCAAAGACTTACTGAACACCTGTTCCTAAGCTTTCGGACAGATTGCCTCTACCTCTTCAGTATGCATTTATTTGATAAAACCACTAGTTGGCGAAGAATCTACTTAATACACAATTGCTGCGCATGTGTAATTCAAGTTTATGGCTATCTGTATGCAGACATGAAGTCAAGGCAAAGTATACTATGAAATTAGATTACCTCTTATCTTTTTACAGGTGATGTCTAAGGACATTTCTAGGAAGGGACAAAAAACATCAATGCAGGGGGGGCACACTTAATCACTTACAACGATCTCTACACGAATTTCTAAATACGCCAGTAAAATGAACTTCACAACTAAACTACCACAACCACTATTTTACAGACCCTTGCTGAGGAAAAGCTTAGGATCCTAGAATCACCATATCTAGCAATTATAACCACAACGGCATTAACAGCCTCTAGCCAGAAGCTCAAACTTTTTCAGTTTATAAGGGCAATAATGGAGAAGCTATGCAGAAGGCGCACTGGCCCTCGCCAATCTATATTAATCTTCTCCCTCCTCCCTCCTCCCCCCCCCCCAAGCTAACCAACAGTTTAAAAATCCAACAAACGCTTCGCTGTCCTTGTATAGGCTCATCGTATCCAGGTTAATCTAAATGTACTATAGGATAATGCTTTAGTTTATCTGATCCTCCCTATTCAAACACTACGCTGGATCGGCAGGTTATATGCAGCACGACTGAGCCACCGGATGTACTACGTAATGTGACAGGTGATCCAACAAGTCACCACTTGTCGGGTGTTGTGAACCACAAACTATTTGGCAGGGAAAAAACTTTACAATCATCCCCGGAGCAAACCAACGTATTTGAAGAAACTTCCTTGCTATATAATGATTGGGGGGGGGGGGGGAAGCGGTTTCACATCTCTTCCAGCCAAGAAAAAGCCCAGCGAACCAAAGAAACTGCCTAAACCGAACAAGACCTACCATCATTGTACAGATCTTTGGCGATGCTGTGAGCAAGCTGTTCGTTAATGAGAGCGCTTCTCTTCGCCTCCACCACTTTCAGCATCACTTCTTCAAATACGTCTGAAGTGGCTTTTGTCAGAGACTCTTCCAGGCTGGTGTCGAACAACCGCTCGTACGAGGACTTTATTGACCTGCGAGGTCGAGTATTAGTTAATTTAGGTGGCACAAGAGGCTGAATGGGGGTGTGAAATTTAGTAATTACGAGAAGCAAGACTAGGATAACAGACCAGGAAAAGAAAATGTATTAGATACTAATGTGCCAATTACAATTGGCTTTTCCATAACATTTTAGTAATATGATAAGTTTCTGCAGGCATGAGGGCAAAAAGGATAGGTACGCAAAGGATACAGGGCCCAAAAAATAATTACCAAAATTATACGCCATTTCAGAGAAACTTATTTTACACCAGTGTAAGAATAAATGCTTTGTTAAAAGTAGGACTATAATGATGTGAAGTCTTACGAAGAAATTGACTACTGGTAACAATACTTGCTTAATGAGAGAGTTATCCGCAGTACAAAGGATCTCCACGATGACTCTTCCATTCTTTTTCTTGCATGCATGATGCAGTTCCTGGGCCAGGTAGTCTTTATGAGAAGTCATTAGAGCCATGATGATATCTTCCAAGTTACCACTTAGTTCCTTCTTCAAATCCTTTGTTAGGTCCTAAGGGGGTGAGAAGGAAGATTTTCAAAACCTGGCTCCACCTCAACTAAAGAAAAGTAGAAATTAGCACGTTTTTACAGCGCCAGGCTTAGGATGGGAGAGGACCAAGAGTAATTTTTTTGCTACACATCTGACCAGGGTTCATAAAAATTGATGTAAACTACTTTGTGGGAGATCAGGTTATTCCACAGGTACTATACATGTTAGAAGAAAATTAGATTTCACAGTTAACTCTGAAGAAAAACACTTTTCACGTATGCAGCTTTGCTGAAAATTGGAAGGGAAACTAGCTTTTAGTCTTTCTTGTAAAAAAGACTTGTGTAGAGTTTTTTTTTTTAAAGTTAAATTGGCATAATTTTCAAAGTTTATGTTTATGAAATTAAAGAATTATTCCGCGCTTCACTGCATTCAGTAAAATAGTAAAAAAAAAAAAAAAAAAAAAAAAAAAAATTGAATCGCCTGAAGGAGGGGGGATGCCTTAGAATTATGGGTTGTCAACCTCCTCCCCCACCATCTGCAAACTACAGGAATGCCCCCCCCCCCAAAAAAAAAAAAATATAATCTAGACTGGCAGTCCTCATTCATCAAGTAAACTCACCCTGTCGTAGGCTCTGTTGTACTGCTGGTAGAGAAGCTGCCGCTGATCACTGTTGCAAGAGGTGAGGACATCAACAATGGTATCTTCATCTGTGCCCAGTCCTTTCATTGCTTTCCTCAGAGCCTCCGCGTCCCCAGCCTGAGTGAGGTGCGCTTTAGCCTTCACTGTTGGGTGATCCTGTGAAGAGAAACATGCGAGGGTAGGAGAGACGTTGATAGTGTCAATTAGGAATTGACTGCTATTGGTGTTCACTAAAGATGCTAAGTACTGTGCAACTGTACACTGTTGTATACAGAACATTAGGCGAGTGTGCAATACATACGAAAGTGGAACATGAATGATAGTATGCATGTAGGGTGCAATTTAAATTTCTTATTCCTGTTACTAAATACACACCTTTTAAGGTGTATTAGAAAAATAAAGACACCCTCATTTTTTCCCCCACAATGACTAGTAATAGAAAAAAAAATTTATGCTTTAAAATACTAAATACTTATATTTACAACTAGAAGACCTTCCTCCATACCCTGAACTGACCAAGACTCGGCAGCAAGCTTGCTAGTTTTACGACGTAGTGTTCAACCTTATTTTTTTTTTTTTTTTTTTTTTTTTTATTTTTATTTAAAAAAAAAAAATCACACATACATGTTTGCTATACTTAGGTCAAAAACAAACGTGATCCATTAAATAATAAAAACAGAACATTCCTTATCACAGCATTAAACTTATACACAAGAAAAACCACGTGCAACTGTAAATGCTTGATTCCCCCTCCAAAAATGCCCAACCAGCACACACAACATACATGTAACTAAAAAACAGCCCACACCTGAACATACAGGTGGGTTTATTATATCCATAAAATACAGCCAGTATCTTATAACACAAAAGACAATATAATCCAAAGAATGTCACACTTATTTACATTATCTATGAAACTATATACAAATACATTCTCATAATCTAATTCGTCGCACTCATTAATATTGCATTAAAACTTTATATACAAAGATAATATTAAACACCCCAAAAATTACAATATAAGAAAGGTAACAAAATTTCCACACACACGCACTAAATTTACACACGTGCACCTCCATACCCAGAGCCATTCACACTTGAACACCCAGGTGATCTTGTGCCATCTCTGCAGCAACTAAACATTGCACCATTACACAAGTAAAAAAAAAAAGCTAAGTGAATACAAATTTAAATATTATCTAAAAAAAAAAAATAACTTACACAACACTTGTTATTCGTAATTGTTTGTGGCATATACAAACTTTTACAATCATCCATCAGATATATTACTAATTTGACACAGGAGTGTCACCACTCCAAAAGTAGTTACATTATTATTTTTCCCTAAAAAACCACCCACACAAATTACTATACATGGAAGTTAAGAACCACGAAATCGTTCCTCTGATATGTTATGATCTAAGCCAGAAAGTTAAATTAACCTTGAACACCATTTTACCCGACGTATCTATTTCCTCATACTAACACACCGGGAGCTTTCCTATCTTAAAGAACATTACTTTTAACACTACATTCACACACATTCACCTCCATACCCAAAGCAATTCACACGTGCACACAGTTTTATTTTACATTCCTACAACAGCAACTGGAATCATACTAGTTACCACCCAACCATAATCCGTTACACTACACACCATCCACCCATGTAATTCGCTAAAACCATTCCCATACCCCGGCCCCGCCCCCCCCCCCCCCCCCACCACTGAAAACCCGACTAAAAAAAACCTCCCCTACATGGTTATCACTCCCAATGCAGGAGACACTTCCCTTAATCTTTAGTTCCGGAAAAAAAAATTCCCCACTACTCCCATAAATAAGTTTTTCCTACCCAGCCCTGTATAACGCGCTGCAATTCCCTTAAATTTCGAATCCTACCCCCAGCATCCCCTTTTCCCCGGGAAATAAACGAAAATCCACTACCACAACATAATCGCCCCTTTTACCCCATGATCCCCCTTTTACCTCTAATGTTAAACTGCGGTCTCTACATTACCCCCACCCAGCAACAAAACTCCTCGCCCAACCACATCCTACCTCCCTCAATCTTCACAAAAAAAAAACCCATGAAATGCAGTTTCCAGCTACCCCCACTGACTCAGGAGGTTCCCCCACCAAACCCTTAAACTCAAAACGCTTTTGAAGCTAGGATCCCCCATCATGAACTGTAACCAAATCACTACCCTAGGCATTAACCGAGCCCCCTGAAGTCTTCCCCTATCGTCCCCCAATCATACAATGGTAAACCCATACCCCTGCAAGATTTCCCCCCTCCCCCTCAATTACCAAACGCCCCACAAGTCGCCAACATCTTTTACCATAACAAAACCCTCACATATCCTCACATTCAATAACTACCTCCCCACCACTCCGCACACCCCCCCCCCCCCCCTCACCTTCCCCCTAACCCCTCTTTCCCCCCAGCCCTAACTAATACTTACATTATTGCTTTCAAAACCCCGGGCCCCCAAAGCTAAAAGACCCCCTTTCCCCCCGGGGCACATTCGACATCACCACTTTCCTTTCTCACCAGCCCTCCCAAAACCCCAAAAATAACGTAACTCGCCTCTATTTCTTGTACGTCCTTTCCAAAGGGTACGCTTTTTCCCCTAACCCAAACTTTACTGTAAACTACAATTAACCATCACCACCCCCTGCTGTAAGTCACTACCGCCCAAACCCCCTTTAAACTACCCTACTTTCTCCACACCTCGAATTTTCCTCCACCTCCGCCATTCGCCATGTATAAAACTCCACAAATCTTCAAATTTTCCACCACTGCCCACCCAAACTCCAACCCCAAGCCCCCCCCCCACCCAAGCACCCACCTCCAGTAAACACGATTTCGCCCTATTTACTCTCGTGCCCGACGCCTCCTCAAAAATCCCAAACACCCTCCCCACCGTACGCAATCCCTCCACCCCTTCTATCAGGATAGTGGTATCATCCACATACCCCACAATGCCTGAACGCCCTTCCCTCTCCCCATTTAATGCTCCCATCCCCTCAACCAGCCCATAGAACTGATGTTGCATGCACGCAAACAGAATTTGTGAAAGAGGGCACCCCTGCCGTAATCCCTCTCTCCATTTTAACCAGCCTTCCCAATTTGCCATTAACTTGGACCCGTGCCATAGCCGCCGAGTAGCGTATCAACCCACCTCGCCACTCCCAGTCCAAACCCCAGTCGCAACAAACAAGCCCTCAAAAATTTTCTATTCACACAGTCATATGCATTTTCCCAATCAATACCCAAAAGTCCTCCCCCCTCACAACCCTCCAAAAAGTACCTTATGCGCCCATGCCCAACTCGTACTTCGTCCCGGTATACCCATCTGACCTCTATGTACAACCCCACCAATTACCTTCATCCTATTACCTAATATCTTTGCAAAAATCTTGTAGTCAGAACACATTAGTGAGATAGCTCTACGCACTTAAAACACTCCCCACTTGCTTTTTACGAACCAACACAACCACTCCAATACTTTGTGTCAGACTTAGCTTGCCCTCCCGCAACATGCAATTCATGGCCTCCACCAGACAAGTCTTAATATGCTCCCAATAACTCTGTAAAAATCATTTGAAATCCCATCGATGCCTGGTGCTTTTCCAGTACTCATGTTAAACACTGCCTCCTCAACTTCCCCCACACTAATCGCTCCTCCCATCTCCATCCCCTCCACTTCTTTTTGCCCTAACCCCCCCCCCCCTCCAACACCTCAAAAACATCGCCTTTCCCCCCCCCCCTTTCTCCATTTCTCTCGAAACCAGTATAATTACTCATGCCTTCTGTAGTAGTAAGCACCTGTTCCTTATATATCCACCTATATCCTCGCTCCTCTAATTGCAAAATAGTTGACTACTCCTGCCTTGCCCTAAAAAGTCTTAAAATACTTCCCGAAGGTTTATCCCCCCCCCACAATGCAGCCTCCAATCCTGCCCTCACACGCACGGCATCAAATCTATCATTGTGTATCTCTGCCAGTCTACCTCTAAGTTGCTCCACGGTCCCATACTGCTTCCCCCACTTCGTCATAACACTCGTTCAGCTGACATTCCAAACAATTCTGTAACCCATACCTCCACCTGGCCTCTTCCCGTCCCCTATTTTTAAAGAATCCAGCAATACCCGGCTTAGCTCGCTTCTCCCACCATTCCAAGACACGACCCCACATCCCTTGATCCCCAAAAAGAGTGCCACCAATCCCCAAAAGCCACACTCACCCCCTCCCCCTTCACAAGTCTCGCATTTAATTTCCAATAACCAGTGTATATCCTAACCATGCCCTCCCAATCAAGATCCGCAATAACCGCCCTGTGGTCCGAAAACCCCACATCGAAGGTCATAACTCCTAGTACTCTTATTGCCTCCGTAGCATAGAGCCTATCCAGTCGTGCAGCAGAACCCCTTCGTACAAATTTATACTCAATCCTCCAAACCACCCCTCCCCACTACATCTAAAACTCCACATCCCCCAACACATTGCGTAAACCAACACGACCCCGCCCCCCTCGTTCCAGCTCACCGTGCGTATGACAATTTCTTCACAGTAACCTATCGTTGGGTTTTAATGGGGTTTGGGAACCCCTTTTTCTTACTTTAAATCCGGGGGATTGAGAAAAACCCTTAGGTTGAAAAAAATTTTTGGGAATTAAAAATTTATTTTTTTAGAAAAAAATAATATTTGTTAACTTTCTTGGGAAATAATTATTTTCCAGGTTTTATTTTTTTTAATTTAACTCGGGGTTTTTTGCCATGAGGTTTTTTCCCGTTTTCAGTAACATGCTTTTTTTTTTTTTAAAATTTTTTTTTCTTTTTTTTTTGGGGGGGGTTTTTTTTTAAATTAAAAAAATTTCCCTTTTTTTTTCCTTTTTTCATTCAACTTTTTAAACTTTTTATGAATTGTTCTTTTTAAATTTAAAATTGGCCCCTTAAACCCAAATAGGTTTGGGTTTTCTCTTCTTAAATTTTTATTTTAAGGTTACCCAGCAGAAATGGGGTTCCAGCTAAATTTTATAGGGGTTATTTCAGTTAATTTTTTTGGGTTCAAGTATTTTTTTTTTAAATTTTATTAATGTTCAGCTGTTTTTTGGGGGAAATTGTAAATATTAAATTTTTTGTTTTTTTTTTTAAGGAAAGGAAAAACGTTAAAATTTTTGATTTTTTTAAGGGAAACCTTGTTTTAATTTGACTTTTTAAAAGCAATTTTTAAATTTCTTCAACCCTGGCTTAATTTTTTTTATTTTTTCTATTTTTTTTTTTTAAAATT